CACTTTGCCGCGCTCAATAGTGGACCGTTTGGACGGCGAGTAACGCTGCACAGGCGGGCCGCGCCTGGAAGACCCGGGCGCATAATTACAGCGCCTCCGCGCTCCTGAGATATTCGTCGGAGCGGCAGCGCCGGCGGCTGCTGCGGTGAGATCCGGCCACTTCGGACGGCCGTTTGACGCGCCAAGGCAAGCGGCCAGACGGCCTGGAAAGATCCAGGTCAGTCCTTTCGTCCTTTGTGTGGCCTCAACTGGGCCCTTTGTGGAGCCAGCCGTGACCTTCGGCGCGTTGGGACGCGGCGCGGGTGCGCGAGACGTTGGAGACAGGACGAGGCGGAGTGGGAGGCGAGGACTGCCCGGACGGCGAGAGCTCCAACACAGGTCACTCCACACTTGGCTCTGTGCTGGAAGCAACAATGTGCTTCGCGCAGCAGCATCGTTGTGTGGTTTTTGCTGGGGCTTAGACTCTTAGTCCTCACAGGTTTTTTTTTTCTCGTTAGACCACTATGACAGTGCATACAGGGAGAGGCTTGCTAAAGCTCGAAATGTCCGTGGGATTGGGTGTGGCACCCCCGCACCCAATTGCACCGTGAAAGCGTCTCCTCTAGGTCCGTGCTTTTCCGACCATATTGCTGACGGCACCTTCCGGGTCGTACATCGCGGATGCAAGGACCGTCCATTTTCTTCGATCTCTACAAGTTGATGGTGGCGATTATCAAAGCACTGACCGATTCTTTATAAAGCATTACCGGAAATCTGCGCCAGCGTTCATAAATGGCGCGCGGCGCCGCTGACGGCCGGCGGCCGAATTCAATGAACTTTATCAATGCGCGCCACCGGCCGACTGTCGGCCGCTCGGCCCTCTCTCATTTGGCGCCGATGTGCTCAGGCCGTGAACAGACGACGCCGATCTCCGGGGAAGAGTGGCGGCGCGGGCGTCGTATCATACCTGCTATTGGCCGCGGCCGCTCACCTGTTGCGGCCGGGCAATCGATAGGCGCGGCCGCTAGCGCGCGGACCCTGCGCAGTGGATAGACTCGCGCCGCGTCCGGCCGGCCGGCGGCAGCGGGCGCATTCCCTCTGTTCGGCTGGCGGCGGTCGGTGCTGCTCCTGGCCTCGCCGCTCCTCTCTGCGTGTCCGGCGGCCCTCGCCCGCTCTCGCCTCTCCGCCCAGCTACGCCCGCCTCGTTTCACCTTCTTCTGTCACCCTGGAGTCGTCCGCCTGCGTCGAAATGGTGAGTGGCAAGTGTGGCCGACGTAGCGGGCGGGTGACGTGGCGCCGCCGGCCTCAGGTCAGCCGGCGCCGGCCGCGCTCGGGTCGACTGCAGCATGCGCCGGGGGCGGGTCGGCGGTGACATCACCCCGGCCCGGCGCCATGACGTGGCCGCGCTGGATGCAGACGCCCCGTCACGCAGCGCAGCGGTGACGCTACGGCGGGCACCGCTGGCCGCCGAGCGCTGGGCTGAACGGCTCCATATACGGGCGGGGCACGTAGGGCCCGGCCCAAGCCAGCCAGTTGCCTGTCACATGGCTTTCTCCCAGCCGTGCCGCCCGGGACTTTACCTGTTCACGAGCGCAGCTGACGTAACCGGAGCCTTGTCCGCCGACTGGCCACCGTACGGCTGCCGGGACCGGCGCCGGCAGCCGGCCCGGGCGGGCGGCGGCGGCGGCGGGTCAGACCGTCGCCGACGCCGCAGGCCGCCGGTCATTATGAGCGCCGTTTTTTGCCGGGCGGCCGGGCGGATCGCCCGTCGGCCGTGTGATTACGGCCGGACGGCCTGCGAACGCCGCGGTCGGCCGCTCCCAGGCAGCGGCGCTTTTTCTCGCGCCGGCCGCCGGCCTCGGCGGCCCCGGCCTGGGCGCGGCGCCGCCGGCACCTGGCTAACCCGCCGACCCGGCCGACCCACCGGTCCGCCGGCCAGCCGGGCGGGCGGCGCCGCATTCTGGAGCGGCCCCGGCGCGGCCAGCTGGCCGGGCAGCGGGCGCCGGCCGGGCCGCCGGGCCGCCGCCTTTGTCAGCGCCGGCTGGCCGGCCGGCCAGCTGCCCGGCGCGCCCCTGTTACCGGGCCGCCCCTCGCTTCGTGCCCGCCGAAGGCCACAGCGCTCACAAAAAGGCTCCCCGGGATCGCCGGGACGCGCTCCGTTTGAAGGGGAGACGGCCGCTGGGGCCGGTGGCTCGGTGCGCCGCTCGCTCGTCGGGATTACAGAGCGGCTCGGTCGGCCGGCGGCGCTCTCCCAGCGGTGTCGGCCGCCTTTCGAGAAGCAATCCCTTTCGGAGATTGTCGCCCGGCGTCTCGCGTTCGGAGGCGACCGAAATTCAATTTGCGACTAACAAATGACGTTTGAAATGTTATTTTCCGAAAATGCGGCAGCAGCCGGAACTTCTCACGGTTTCAATTTAAAACTTTCCGCTCGAGGCTCACTAATGAAATGCCGGTGGCTAATCTGCCATTAAGTGCCGCGCGACGTTCGGCGCGGGTTTCCGGGCGGCGTGTGAGTGCCGGTGTCTGGAGACGGCTGCAGTGCCTCCTCCGCCGGCCGCGCTGAGTGCGTTTTGGTGTTTGAGAGACGCCGCCAGACGCTGCTCCCCGCCGCCGGCTCCCCACTGGGAGGCGTCCCGCGGGTCTGGGGCGGCCTTGAGCGGGCTGGCGGCGGGGCGCCCTGGAGGCGGCCGGGCGAAGCGGCGCTGCCGCCATGTGGAGCGGACGCCGCAGCCTTGGGCTGGCGGGCCGGCCGGCCGGCGCGGCTGAGCCGGCCGGCAGAGCCGCAGCTAACGGGACGCGCGGCCACGGCGTGAGAGGAGACGACGGGCGCTCAACCGGCGCCATTCGGGCCGCCGCACACAGTGGCCCGCCCGGACTCACGCTTTGAGCGCGACTCCACAACATATGGCCTCAGTCTGACCAAAAGTAACCGCATATTTTGGTAGAAATTAGCAGTTAATGATTGTGCTTGCGATTGTGTGACATCTGGAGTCGGTTCGCGTCTCCGGGGACCCCACGCCCTGACATTTAGAATATGTGTTTTGCGGTTGGTAGTAGAAAGTAGCCGAAGGTAACGAAACCGGCCAGAGAAGGGGCTGGGTGCGCAATTGGCGGCCCAGGTGAGAGGCCACGCGAGGGAGGGGCTGGTCGGCGACCTGGCGGCCCCAGTGAGAGGCCGTGTGAGCGACTCAAGGCCGGCGCTCACCTGATCCCTAAATGTGAACGTGCGGGCCGGGCGGGACCGGCTGCTCACCGGGCGCTGGTCCCGACACCGGCGGGCCTGCCGGGCCGGCCGGCGGGACAGGTTCTCGGCCGGCCCGGGTCGGGCCGCGGCGGACACGCTCGGGCGGCCGGCGCCGCCACGTGGGCCGCCGGCCGGCAGACGCCCGGTCTCGGGCCGCCGCGCCGCCGACACGGCTCAGCACGGGCCGCATTCCGGGCCGGCCGGCAAAAACAAGGGTGCGCACCCCCCGCGGCGACGCCGGACGGTACCTGTCGGCCGTCTCGCCCCGCTCGGCGCCGCGGGCGCCTTGGCACTCCTGGCACTCGACGTGCCTCGCCCTGGCGGACCGATCGCAGCCGATCGCGGAGCGCCGTCTAGAGGGATGCGTCCGCTGTACCTGCCCTGGGCTGTACCCGCCCCGGTGCGTCTGCTGTACCTGCCCCGGCGCGTCCGCTACACCTACCCCGGTGCGTCCGCTGTACCCGCCCCGGCGCCCAGGATGACCACTGAGATTTGGGCGCGCTCGGTTGCCCCTGCCGCCCGGCGCCCCGGGGGCTCCGACCTCGCCTCTCACCTCTCGGAGCGGCGCCGCCTGCCCGCCGTCCGGCGGTAGGCCACCGGCCGCGGTCGTGCCGCTGCCCGGGCCGGAATGCCGGGGTCGGCCGGGTCGCGGCAGCGGCGGCGGCGGCGGCAGCGGCAGCGGCAGCAGCGGCGCGCCTAGAGGATGAACAGGCGTGGAGCCGTGCGGTGACGGGTGACTGTGCTGCAGTGCCCAGCAGCAGCGGCGGCGGTGACGGCGGCGGCGGCGATACCGCCGATCACACCCGCCGCCGCCGCTGTCCGGTCGGTGCGCGCAGGACAGCACGCTGACGGCCGCCGTTTGTACGCCACCTTTGATCCGATGCGCCTCTAGCCGTGTCCCGCGCCCATAACTACGGGTCATTTATTTGGCTCGTTCCTCTGATGAATAGCGACCGCAGCACGAATCGTTAGCTTAATTATACATGACACAACCGCTGAATCGAAAACGAAATATATAATCTCATAACGTCGTTACTGTCGCAACCTCCGGCGGCCGCGTGGTCGGGTCGCGGCCGGCGCGGCGCCGCGGCCGTCGCGCGCGTCTGGCGGCGGCGGCCGGCCCTGTGTCGCCGGCGCCGCCGCCCGGCGGCTGGCGTGCCGGCCGCAGCTGCCGGCCGCTGACACCTGTGTGAGGGCCCGGCACGCCAGCCGCCGCTCGTGCCGCCGTGGCGTGCCGTGCCGTGCCGGCGGCCGTCCGTTCCGCGCCGCCGCCCTGGCAGGAAGCGGCCCCCGCCGCCGCGCCGGCCGTCGTGACGGCTCCGGCCGCAGCGTCGTGGACGGGCCGCGGCCGTGACGTCTCGCCGTCTCTGAGAGCCCCTCAGCGTGACGTCCCCGGTCGTCGCAGGTTCGCAGTCTGCGGCTCTGGTCGACTGTGGGTGCAGCGCTCCGTCTCGGAGCGTGATGCCGGCGCTCGCGGTGTCGCGCTGGCCTCGGCCGTCAGCGGCCGTCTTGCGCCGCCAAGACCGTCTCCTAGCGTGGTGTCTCTAACCTCCTCTGACCATGCGTTTGCGGCTGGCTCGGTCTCGAGCTCGGCGCGTGTGCTCTGACCGTTTCTCACCGTGTACCCTGACCGTCTCTCACCGTGTACCCTGACCGTCTCTCACCGCGAACCGAACCCTGACTCGGCACCCCGGAACCGCTCACGGTCTCCGTCCGTACGCGGCCATGACGTGTGCGTCCGCGCCGCCGCTGACGCCGCTGCCGCCTTGTTTTTCAGCGCGGCTCGGAGGAGCTGCTCGCTCCAGCCGGCGCGGTACCGACCAACGGTGCCATGACGCTCGCCGACAACAACAACGACGCCAAAAAGGTACGCCGTCGCCCCCGGCTGACGGAGCGCGCCTCGATCTTCCGCTCGTCGCGTCGATGTGTTGTGCCGGGCCGCGGAGCGCATCGAAGCTGACGAACGCTGACGGCGGGGCGACACGGCGCCCGCCGACGGTTCGCCCGCAGCGCGCCGACAGCCGTCGCCGCCCTCTGCCAGGCTCGGCGGCGGCGGCGGCGGCGGGCGGGCCGTCGCGAGCCGCGACGCTCCGCCGCGAGCCGTGACGCTTCGCCGCGCAGCTGTGGCCGGGGCTGCGGCAGCGCGTGCTGCTGGTCCGCCGCGTCCGCGCGTCAGCGCACGTCGTCGCTGTGACGCCGTATGGTCGGGGTTCGCCGGCGCTGGTCGGCGGCGGCACCGGTCTGCCGCCGGCGCTACACGCCGCCTATTTGTAGCGGGGGGATGCTGTGCTGCGGCTCGCGTGTCGCCGGCCGCCGGGTCGCGTTGCGCCGGGTGATGCCGGCTGACGTCATGGCCGTGTCTCCGCCGCGCCGTCTTCAGCTGAGGACTGCGCGGTCGCACTAATGACGTATTGCGCGCGCGGCGTCGTGCCGCGCCGCTGGGTTTTGCGCGGGTGTCGCTTCGCCCCACCGGCCTGTCCCCGTGGCGTGGCGTAATCTATTCCAGAGCGACGTCGGCTGATCTTTGCCGCGCGGCTCTCGTCTTGGGCGTGACGTGTCGGTGCGCTGTCGGCGCCGCGCCGGCCGGCTCGACGGCGACCCGGCCGTCCTGCTCTCCTGGCGCGTCTCCCTACCACCGGTGGCGGGGCAGCCCGGCGGCGCCGCCGGAGCCCGACCCGTCTGTCTCGGGCGCGGCTAGCAGCGGCCGCGCTTGGCTCGTGGTGGGCTGAGCTCGATGCCGACACCAGGTAGCCGATGCTGACCTCAGGTGTGCCCGGCGGCGGCGGAAGCCGCCGCCGCCGCCACCGCCACCGCCGCCGCTCCGCGTGCCGCCTCGGTGCGCGCGGCTGTTTTTGTGCGGCGGCGACGAGCAATTGGCCGCCAGCCCGCGGTGGCGAAAGACGCGGCCGGCGGAGGGCGCGGCGCGAGCGGCGATCGCACCCCGTGGGGCGGGTGGCAGACGCTCACTTGGCGGACGGCGGTATTGGCGTGGTGTGCTGTTGCCGGGCTGCGCAGCATGCGCGGTCTATTTGTATTGGGCGTGCCTCGTCGATCTCCGTGTTCTTTGGCTGGCCGTCGTGTCGGCAAATGCCACGACCTGGTCGCGCGGCGCTCCGGCGGTGCCGAACTGCGCCGCCGTGTGGCCCGGTCTCCTGGCCTCAGCGCCGCGTTTTCCCCAAACGTAGCGGGCCTCGCGCACCCGGGCCGTTCGCGGCGGTGCTCGGGGCCGGAAAGGTGCGACCCGACCATGACTGGTTCGGCAGGCTGTGAGACAACCGCTTGCCCCTCGGAGCGCCGTCGCTGCCGCTCCGGTGTGGCTGTCCCTTTCGGCGGCGGCGGCGCGGTAAGCTCGCTGCGAGCTGAGGGCGGCGTCGACTGCTGCTAAATAATGCAGCAGCGGCGGGGACGACCCGAAGTTGCGCAGCGAAACACGGCGAGGCGCCGGCTCCTGTCTGTCTGCCACGCTCCGGGTCCGCGATCGGTTCCCATCCGCTCAACTTTGGCAGCGCACTTCGCTCCGGCGTCCAGGCTCTCGGCTGGTCGGTCGGCCAGACAATGCTGCGCCGTAATGGTACGTGCCGTGTGGGCACGTACATCCGCCGTCATCTGGCGAGTGGCGAACGACGCCGCGTCGGGCGTGGCGCCATCTGTCCGACGGGCGCCGCACCGAACCGGAGCGGTCTCCGCCAACCGGTGTCTGCCGGGTCCGTTGCTGTCCGCGATGCAGCCCGGCGCCGGGTTCGAACCACGCTGGTCGGCTTCCCTGCCCGTCGCCGTGTGCGCCGCGCCCCCGCTCCGGCTGCCGCCATATCCGCCGCTCCCGCCATATCCGCGCCGCGCCGCCCCCCGGCCGGCCGGCGCGGTGCGCTTGGCAGCCGGCCAGCGTCGGCCGCCGCGCCCGGCGCGCTGGCGGCGGTTCCGGCGCCGTCGCGATTAGCGGCGCCGCCGGTCGCGATTGATCGCGCTCTCGGTCGCCGGTCGCCGGCCTGTTGCACCTCGAGCCGGCTCGGCTCGGGCGGGCCGGCGCCGGGGCCGGCGGCGAGGGCGGCACGGACGCCGCCGGGACCTGCAGGGACGGCACTCCCCCAGGCGCGAACGCCTAGCGTGCAGCCTGCCGTGGAGGGCCGGCGGGAGCCAGGAACTAGTGGCAGCGGCGTGGCTCGGGTGGCCCGTTCCCTGCCGGTTCGCGGGGGCGGACCGTGGTCCACGGTCTCCCCCGCCGCGCCGATCCCTAACGACCGCAGTCGCACACGCGCCGAGCGATTGCGGCGCACGTGCGTTTGAATACAGCCACGCTTGCGTTGCCGCTTGATTAATGGTTGGCTTTAATCAATAGTGGAGGCCGGTGTGCATTGTCGGTCGCTGGGACGACGCCGTGGCAGGCCTCGTCGGGGGACCGCATCGGTGTTGTTAAGTGTTGTGCGGTGCTCATAGTGGCTCCTCGCCACTTCTCTACGTGCGGGACCCGCGCGTCTGTCTCCCTTGTCGGCGATCGGAGTCGTACGACGCGCTCGTTTTACTGTCATTGCTGCTATCTCGGACTCTCGAAGCGGGCCATGGTTATCTGTGTCGAGCCACGATGACAGCCGTGCGATTCAGGCCTGGGAACGGCTCGTGGCCGTGCCGTCCGCGCTCCGCGCTGTGCTCGATTCGTGGCGCGATCGCTCCGCGCTGCGCGGCCCGCCGGCCGCCCGCCGCCGGTCAGTCCGCCGCCGCCGCCGCCGCCGCCGCCGCCGATACCGTATCGCGTCATTCATGAGCGGGCGGGCCACTGTCCAAACAGCGGACCGATTGGACGCCCTGTTGCGTCGGTCACCTGCCCCCCGGGCAGCTGCCGTCGGCCATCTGCTGCGGCCAGCTGGCGGCTGCGGCCTCGCGCCGCCAGCTGCCGCCTGCAGCGCGCAACAAGGGAGCGGATGTCTCTGTCGTGCTCGGCCGCACTTACGGGCCCCGTGGCGGGAATGCTGCATGTTGACCGGCCAAATGGCGATAGCGAACCTTCAGGCTTTAGTGCAGCCTGGCTCTGGGACGCATAGCAAGCAAATTCAGTAAAACCCCGTGCAATATGTATCAGCGTTCGGCGATAACGCCTTGCCGGCACGACAGCGACCGACGCCGCGACCGGAACGAGCGCGTCCTCCTTGCCGGGGACCTTGCAGCGCGCTATAGAGGCGCGGGCACTCGGCTAATGGGCCGGACGCGGGCCGGCCGGTGACCTACGGTCGGCCCGGTCAGCGGCCGACACAGACGGACGGCCGGTGGCGTGACGGACGCCTCGCCCGAGGTGTCGTCGGTCGATACCCGCCTGGAGCGGCGCTCGCGCTACTTGTTGACGCCCCCGACGCGAGCCGCCGCGTCGGCGTGTGTGTGTGTGTGTATGTGTGTGTGTGTGTGCGTGTAGGAGGGGAGGGCGCCGCTGAACAGGGCGTCTGTAGCGGTCGGGCCGACGCGTGAGGGGGGTTGCGGCGGGACGGGGTCGGCTGGCGCTGCTCGTGCCGCGCGCCTCGCAGCGGTCCGGACCCGGCGTCACGAGCGGCTCTTGGTGCGGCCGCGCGCCTCGCGCCGCCGGGACCGCCGCGGGGCCCCACCGGCTGTCTCGGACGGAAGCGCTTTGTCGGCCGGTCGGCGGCGGGGGGCCGACGGGGCGTTCCGCCTCACTGAAAGGGACGCCGCGTGCCCACCGGCCGTGCGCTGAAAGATGGCGCGCCCGGCTGTCTGCGGCGCCCCTCGGCGGCCGAGGGAAGCGCCGCGGCGTCTCCCGCCTCCCCACCGCACCGGCACCCCTCCTCGGCGCTCGCGGGACGCGCTGGCGGCGCCTCCGTGCGGTGCGGCGACCCGGCCCGGCGGCCTCTGATCGGCTCGCGTCCGCAGGCGGCATCGTTCGGTCTGGTGGCGGCGCGCCGGGCGACGACAGCCGGTCGGACGGCCGCGGCTGGCGGCTCCGGACGGAGGTGCGCCCTCCTTATCTGGCCCGCCGCCGCCGCCGCCGGCGCCGCCGTCCCGCTCCGACCGGGGCCTTTCCTCGCGGCCGTGTGCCGCTGTGACAGGCCGGCCTTGTGTGCCGCCGGCGGTCGGGCGGAATGCGCCGGCGGCGGGCGTGACGCCGCTGCGGCGGCGGCTGACAGTGTCCTGCGGTCCCTGAGCTGCCGGCCCCACACAGGCTGCACTAGCGAATGTACCACGAGGATCGAGTCAAGCCTCGGATCTATTCACGCGTACCGCAACAAATGCATCATGGTGTGGTCCATACGGTGTGTTTATCGTTATGGGCGCAAAATGATCACTGTAGTCGTCGCGCCCGAAAACGCCAATAAACAACAAAAACAGTATGCTTCCACGTTTGCACTGTTTTGTCTTTTCGGCATCCTTTATGGAAGCTATAATAAGTTGTTATGCTGCCAAAAAGTTGAACCTAGTTTCGGGAGGAGGCGCATGCAAGGCTTCGTACGCTGGCTTAGTTCCAGATTTTTCAGGGAGCGTATTTTGCCGTGCTGGAAGCCCTTCAAGTTACCAACATTGCGTATTTTCAATCAGGTTATTTTTACGTGTGCAGCCTGATTTTAAATTGATTTAAGTTAGCTACATGCGCTTATCACGCATAAAATGTGATAGTGGCGCGTGTCCCGTTGCCCCCCCCCCACCCCCTGAATTCGACATAAAGCATCAGGTTATCGTGTGGGAGGGAAGCGGACCGTATGCGTTCACCGCCTTGCTCTGCCGTGCTATTAATGTTTTCTTTTTGTAAAAATATGTCACAAATCAGACGATTTGTTCTCAAGGATGTGGCCGTTCTGGTAGCTCTTGATGCCGCCGTAGCTGCCAGTGCTCTTAGCGCAGCCACATGTCGGGTCGTAGGGATGGCTGGGGGGGGGGGGGGGGGCACGTTAAGTCCGGTAGCCAACGCGGGATCATGGACACCACACGCCCCAAAATTGTGAGCTGTACAGGAGTGGTGCGAGACAATGGCATTTATGGTTACAATTGGCGGTGCAGATGTCTGTTTTGAAATTTGAGGGATGGTGTGTACTCGTACACCTCACTGATGGTGATGACCATGGTCAGGGCCATCGTAGTAGGGCAAAATATCGTCACCGTACATGATGGATCGCGGTGGATCACCATAACCTACTTGGAACATTGTATAGTTAGAAGGTGCCGCGTGAAATTTTTCGGAACTTCTTTTGGACGTGGGGCTGTTTTTCCAGTTGCTTATGACAGCCATCGGCTTCTTGGAAGTGAAGGGAAAATGGCTTTCAGCGACGCCATTAGGCCTTGTGGTAATTTCCTCCAGTCGCTGCCGTCCTCATTCGGTTGTCGACGGTGAGTCGGATGACACCGGCTGTTTGTAGCGGGCCGGGCCTGGCCGGGCCTGGCCGGGCCGGGCCTGGTCTGGTAGGCGGAGGGCGCGCGGCGCTCCCCGCCGGCTGCCATCTGCCGCCGCAATCACGCCGATCGCCGCGTGCGCCGCGTGCGCCGCGGGCTGGCCCCCTGGGACGAGGACGGCCTGCGCGCTGGCTGCCGGCGGCGGCGGCGGCGTTGACGGCGGCGGTCACCGGCGGCGGCAGGCGCTGACGGCGGCGGTCACCGGCGGCGGCCCGCGACACGGTCTGGCGGCGCCGACCTCGGCCACTGGGTCTGTCCGAAGGCGTGGGTCGCGCTGATGCCATCGCGGACCGTGCCGCGCCGTGCCTCTGTGCCGCGCGCCGGCCGCGCCGGCTGGTGTCGGCGGCAGCGGTGGTCAGCGGGTGCGGCTGATGCTGCCAGGCCGAGGCCGTGTTGGCTCGTGTTACAGGCGGCCCGCAGCGCCACGCCGGGATGCGGGACCGCGGATGCTCGTGGCGCAAACGATCGGCAAGAATGCGCGGCGTCTCTCACGCTGGCCATGCCGGAGACGGTTTATGGCCGGTTTAGGCCGCTGGCCCGGTTTTCCCAGGTGTGCTCGCTGGCTATGGCACCCGGGCGTGCAACTGGTACAGATTCAGGTGCAAACCCATATTTTACCTGGAAATGCATGTGGCTTGTACGCGTTACAGTTGAATGCTCGCTTTCCCAGCGAGAGCCGACCCTCTCCGCTGCTCCCTGTGAACGCCATCGATGTGCCGATGCCAGCTCCACCACTCACAGTCCTGAGAACCGGCTGTTGTCGGTGTGGGTGGGCGCTGCGCGGTGCGGCTGGAAAAGTGGCGGCCCGGCCGTCATCCATCATCTGCTGGTGGCGCCTGGCCGGGCCGGGCCGGGACGCTCCCTCACGCCGCCAGGTTCAAGGGCCGGGCATGGCCGCCAGACCGCCCGCCCGCCAGCGGCCGGACGCGGCCGTGAAATCGCCAGATCCGTCGCGCAGCTTTCGTCCGGCGCCCGCCGACGGCTCGCCGTGTTCCCATTCGTCGGCCGCTTTTTGTCCGGCTTCCGGCGGCGGCGGCCGAGGAGCGGCCGGGCTGTGTCGCCGGCCCGCCGCCGCCGCCGCCGCCCCCGCCTCATCCTTCCGGCGGCGGCTCTCACCGGCCGCTTTTTGCGCGGCGCCGCGTGCGTGGCCGGCCGGCCGCGGCGGCGTTTTTGGTTGGGCGCGCGCCGACCAGCCGGCCGTTTTTGTGCGGCCGCGCCGCGCCGAGCGCCGCCCGGCAACGCTCGACCGCGCCGGGCCGCGCGGCGAGGCGAGGCTGTTGCACCGGCCGGTAAGGACGTTCGGGCCCGGCGGCGGCGGCGGCGGCGGCCGGCCGGCCGTGGGAAGCTCCGGCCGGCGCCGTGCGACGACGGGCGCCGGCCGGGTGAGCGCCGCTGGTCGTGGCCGGGTGTTCCAGCTGACCGGCTGGAGCTCGTCACGGACCGCTGGTGGCCCTCGAGCGCGCACCGCGCCGTCCGGTCGGGCTCGGTCCATCAGGGCCGGCCGGCGGCGGGCGGCGGCGCGTTGAACCGTGTCGGGTCGCGTGAGGTCGGGTCGGGTGACGTCTGCTCGTTTGCTCGTCTGCTCCGGCGGCCGGCCGTCTGCCGCTCTGACTGGCCCCCCGCTGATGGCTCGGCCTCCGGCCCTGGCCCTGCCCGGCCCGGCTTTGGCCTTGGCCTTGACATTGGTTTGGTGCGGGCGCTGGCCGGCCGCTGCGGCCGCCGGCCTGCACTCAGTCGCCGGCGCACGGCCCGCCTGTCAGCGCGTGCAGCCTGCAGGCGCCGGCGTCCGCCGACTCGGCAAGGGCCGCCGCGCCGACAGCTGGCACCTCTGCACGGGACAGCGCCGTCGCTGTGCACACGAGAGTGCCGGCTCAGACTGTCCGCGGAGGGCCGGTAGCGCCGCCGCCCGTGTCGCCGGCGCTCCGGTGAGCCCGGTTGCGAGCTCCGGCCCGGGCGCGCTCGCGCCGGCCGGGCGGCGCTGCTCACCGATGCGTCTCGCCGGCCGCCCACGCCGCCCGGTTCAAGGCGACAGGGTCGGCGCGTGACTCACCAGTTCATCTGGACGGCGGACAATGGCGCGGCCGGCCGGCGGGGTTGGGCGCGGGTCACGGCACGGCTGGAGCGCGCCGCCGCTGATGGAGCGGCCGCCGACGGCCCTGGGACGCGCGCGCTAACGCTCGTTCGTCACGTTCGCAGGTGAAGCTGGACAGCAAGCCGAGCCGGGTGGTTCACATCCGCAACATCCCGACCGATGTCAGCGAGACGGAGGTCATCCACCTGGGCATCCCCTTCGGCAAGGTCACCAATGTGCTCGTGCTCAAGGGCAAGAACCAGGTGAGAGCTGCGAACGAGGCCGGCAGGTGGGGCCGCGCCGCGCCAAGTTCCGATCGTCCCGGCGGGGCTGTGGGACCAGCTCGGTCGGCTTGCGCAGCCATTTCGCGAGCCGAACAGTGCCGTCCGGACGAGGCCGGTCGCCGGTTGGCCGCTACTTTTAGACGCCCGCTGGGTGCCGGTCCACGTGCCAGGACTGGGTACTGGCCGCGGGACGCGTGCCGGCAGACAAAGCCGTGCTCTTGGGCCGTGCGTCACCGCCCGCAGTAACAGATGGGGTGTGCGGCCCAGCTATCGACCCCGTCTTGTCGCTAGGCCGTGAACGTCCTCGCGAGTGGCCGACGAACGGAAGTCGGTGTGAGGCTGGCGCTCGGGGACGCGCTCGGGCGTCTCCGGGGGAATTTAGACGTTCTCATTTAGTCGACGCGCAGAGGGGTTCTTGAGTGCCCGGCCGGGATGCTCCGCTCCCGCATTCACTGTGGAGAGGTGGTTGTGTCGCACACCTGAGGCGCCAGTGGCTGCGCCGAAGTTTTGTAAGTCGGCGCTGCGGTCTCGAGGGAGGCGAGACCTTCGCGGGAGCCGACTCATTACCATGTGTCGGCGGCGTGGGCCGCGGCGGTGGGCGGAGCAGGCTGTCGGGGAAGGCTTTTCCGCCGGTGACCTCCAGCGTTCGTGGCCTTTTGAACTGACTTGCGGGCGCGCCCTGTGGGGCGCGCCTCGGGGTCAACTCCTCGCGCCAGCATGTCTTGGCCGATGGCTGAGAGGCCGCCGCCTATGCAGACCAGCCGACCGGGCTCAGGAGCGGAAGCGAAGAGCTCACTTCTGCCGCAGCACGCGCTCGTGGCGCTGTGGATCACGCCACGGAAACGGAGGCGCTGTGTTTGTGACGCTGGTTCGCTCGTCGCCTGTCTCGACGCGACCGACTCCCCCAGCCGCGTGGGAACGGCCATCCCGGGGGCGGGCGCGGCAGGCCGCTTCAGATGGATGGTCCCTGCCGGGCCCGCCTCGTGGTGGCCTGGCCCCACGTTACGCCTGCGTCTCGCATCAGCTTCGAGATCTCTGTCGATCGTGTAGGTTGTGTAGGTCGTGTAGGTCGTGATGTGCAGGACGGGATCTCGTGTGGTTTGAATGATGCATGACGCCTGCTGTGTGGATTGAACGGGTGTTGTTCTTCAGCTGGTAGCGTGACCGCGGACAGGGCCCGGGGCCTGAAGCAACGCACGGTGATGGGACCCGAACCCATCACCCTCTCGGGTGCTCTTGAGTGTGCCGGCGCCTGGTGACGATGAAGACTGGCAGTGGTCGCGCGCTAGCGTCTGCAGAAACACAATGGTGGTTGTTCACCGCCGAATACGCGTTCTACGCTCAGAACACTCAGTCGTATGATGCTCGCCCGAGTTTTTGCGTCGTCCGTGGGCGAGGTGCTGCTGGCATTTGGGGCTGAAATAGCGGGAGCGAATGTGCCCCTAAAAGGCGAGGAGCGTGTTATGTAAACGGACCGACATTCCGTTTTGATTGGATGTTGGTGTAAGTGTGGTGTCACCGGCTCAGAACGGCTTTCAGATCCGCCTCGACGTGGCTGGCCGGGCGGCGCGTGTGCTGGCTGCCTCGGCGAGCGCGAGCGGCGGCGCCGTGCCGTCCCTCGCCGACCACGGGCTCCCGGGGCTTCCATTGCCGACCGCGAGCCCCCGGGACCGTCCCCCCGCCGACCGTGGGCCCCAGGACCGCCCCCTCCCCCGCCGACCGTGGGCCCCGGGGCCGTCCCCCCGCCGACCGTGGGCCCCAGGACCGCCCCCTCCCCCGCCGACCGTGAGCCCCGAGCCGTCCCTCGCCGACCGTGAACCTCCGAGGGCTGTCCCCCGCTGACCGTGAGTCCCTGGGGCTGCCCCCCTCCGCTCCCGCCGCCCCCGTAACCCCGCGGCCGAGCCACGCCAAGGCCTGCCGGGGTCGGCCGCGGTCGCCGGATTCAATCTCACTTCTCGGCCGTCTGATTGAAACAGCCTTGGCCGGTGTGGCTCCTCGCGCCCGGAAGCGGTCGTAATCCGGGACAGATTGGTCGGCGCTGCCGCGGGGCCGGCGCGCCGCCCCTGCAGGTGCGACGGCCGGCGGCCGGCCGGCCGGCGCGCGCCCGAGGATCGGCCTGAGCGTGGCCGGGATCCGGCCGGCTCTGCGTCGTGAGCCTCCTCGCGCCCGCCGACCGGACAGCCGGCTTGCGGGGCCATTTGCGGCGCGGAGCCCCGCTCTGCTTTAAGTGAGGTCTGATTACGCGGCCACTTGGGGCGCCGCATCGATTCTGGGCCGTGACGACCTGCCGCTCGACCGGCCGCGGTCGCCCTGGCGTGAGGGGCTTACATGCCGGCGAATGTAATTAAACTGGGGTACATAACTCGGCCAATTTTTGCCCCCTAAATCAAGGTTCCCGGTCGGGCGACACCAGCGGGGTGCCGCGCAGTGCGGCGCGGCGGTTAATCCTGGCGCTTCCTGCGCGGGGCCGGCTGCGACCGGCTGTTCGGGACGAGCTCACGTCCGAGGTTTCAGGGGCGCGATTGGCAGTTGGCGTCGCTCGCGCGGGCGGGGCGGATGTTTGGACAGGTGAGCGCCAGCGTCGCGGTCGTCCGTGTGCTGCCTTGTGCACGCGCTGTTGTCGGGCCGCGCTGGAGCCGTTCGGTCTGGCGGCGCGCGGGCGCGTCCGACGTGCCACCTGGCGGCAGCCGCCAGCGGCGCGGGGAGGTATTTCGGTCCGGAGCGCCGCCTACCGCGGGCGGCCGCTCCCAACCAGCGGCTGGCTGGTTCGAACGGCGCTGCCCTGGAGAGGTGAGCTCGGCGGAGACGGAGGGAGGGGAGAGGCCTTGCCGCCGCCGCCGCGCCGCGCTCCCTTTGTGCGGCTGTCTGATCCTCGGCTCGTTGGCTCGCTCGTCAGGAGCGGCGGCGATCCGCGCCGCCGCCGCCGCTCTTTATCCGCCGCGCCGCCTCGGGATGGATGGTCCGGTGCGGCGCGCGGGGCGGACCTGCCATCAGATCGTCATCAGGCGGCGATGACGCGCATCAGCGCCGCCGGGTCGCGACGCCTCCGCCGGCGCCGGGAAGCCCGCCGGCGGCCGGCCCGCTGCCATATGGCGCGGCGTCGGCGATCGGCGCCGCCCACGCCGCTGCCGGCGGCGCCGCTCGCAGCGACGGCCGCCGGCGGCGCTGACGAGCCCGCTCAGCGGCCGGAGGTCGCGGCCGCGCGCTCGTTAACTTTTCAATTTGTCATCGGGTCGCTGGAGTGGCTTGTTTACCCGGCCGGAGCCGCGTTGGGCGTCCCGCGCCGATGGCGGCGCTGAGAAGCCGCCACAGGTGCGCCGGCTCTCGGGAGTGAGCGGGCGTCGCCGCCTCCGCTTTCGGCGGAGCTGAGCGTCTCCTGCCGGGGGCCGGCCCGCCCTCCGACGGGCCCGCTGCCGCCGAGCTGGCGGCCGTCCGGCGCCTATGATGCGCCCGCTCCGCCGCCAGCCGGGCCCGGGGGTGGGGCGGGGGCGCAGAGTAAACAATGACGGCGTCCGAGCGCTGCCGTTTACACGGGGGATAAACAGGGCGCGCCGGCCGGGGCGTGCGGGAGATGTTTACCTGGCGCTGCCCCCTCCGGAGAGGTAGCTCTGACGTGCCGGCCGGCACCCCTCAGACAAAGGGATGGGTGACAGACGAGCGGCAGACGGACGGGCAGCCAGATGACGCGAGGGGGTTAGGCGGGTGGACGGACTTCTAACTAAATGAAGTGATGGTTGAGGGTTAAACGGACTTGCAAACGGTTAACCAAGAAGGGAAATGGTTACGCGGGGGCTCAACCAAATAGACGAGGTAACGACTAGCGAACGGACGGCCAGCCGTTCAGCCGTATACAAGGATGGGTGACGTGGGATCGGGCGGACAGACGATCGACTAGAAGGGTCGGGTGAAGGGCAAATGATGGGCGGTGAGTCAACTCTGTGTTTGTGGATAGAGATGGGCGGACAAGCAGGGCTACACGTGGCGGAAGAACGGACCGACGGGATTGATGGAAGCCCAACCGAACGAGGCACGTGGTACCCGACAACCGGTGGGTCAGACGGTCCGTCTATCGAGGCCGCAGTCCGGACAGATGGCTCGCCGGACGGCCCGCGTCACGGCCGACATCTGTCGGTCCGGCCGTGAGCTAAGGCGCTCACCGCCACTCGACCGGCGCCGCCGCCGCCGCGCCCCCGGCCGGCAGACGGACGCGCCGCCAGCCCCGGCGGCAGATGGCGCCCGGCCGGCCGTGGAGCGAACAACGGACCGGCGGCGGCCGCTGCAGCCGGCGCCCCGTGCCCGGCCGGCTCGCTCTCGCCCAGCTGATCACCGGCCGTGCCGTGCCGTGCCGTGCCGTGCCGCGGCGGGACGCTGTCACTTGCCAGACCAGCGGCGGCCAAAAGACACGGTGCACGAGAGCGCAGCGTACCACTGCGGCGGGGAGCAAGAAACCGACGTTCACCAGTTCGGCGCGCGGTTTTTCTGCCGAAGGGCAGCCGCGATAGAACTTTGTGATGAAACGCCCAACTGAGATGAAAGGCAAACAGCGGGCCCGCGGTCACAGAACTTTTCCACTCCGGCCGGCGGAGGGCCTGTCGTTAATAGTTGAACAGCGGGCCTTTACACAATTAGCGGTGTGGCGGGCGCGGTCGGACCTGAATGTTTCAGACCATTCTGTCGGCCAGCTGCCAAATGGGCGCGGCCGAATGGCCCAATCCGTCCGGCGGACGCGTGCGACCTGAAAAATGCACTGCTGCCGTGCGTGCGCACTGGTCGTGCCGCCATGCAGGGCGCGCGCGTGAGCGCGTGGGCAGGTGCGCGGTTCTGGACCGTGGGCAGGGGTCGCAACACACCTGTGCATGCTCGAGTTATCGGAAGCACGGCGTTTGTGATTGCCGCCGGGCGTGATTTGATGTCCGTGGCTGTTCCGCTGTTTGAACGGGGCGCTGCGCTCAGCATGGACTGTGCTGAGCAAACGGCATGTCGTGTTCCGGCGACGTTCGCGTCCTCTGTTTGCAGTGTCAATTTGGCGCGCTCGTTAGTCGTGGGCGTCGCCACCCCATTGCACGTCGGGCGGCGTGGAAGGCGACGGAAACGAGTGATATCACAATTCGCGCAGGTGCTCTTCGTTTAACCGCCCGCGGAAAATGATTGAGTGTGAGGATATTGATGCCTATTGCACATGACAGCAGCTAGACAAATGCGCCACCTTGTTTTAGTTTCTGATTAAGATTTGCCGTGTTCTGTCGAACTCGCTGTATTCTATGCGGGTTCAAATGACCACTGCTGTCGACGCGCCCCAAAACGCCAGCACAACAGCAGCGGGTAGGTGTGGCCCGTCGTCCGCTGTTGCCCGTGCCGACCGAGGTCCCCCGTGACGCGTGCCTGTCGTGTGGCCGGCAGGCGTTCCTGGAGATGGCGGACGAGGTGGCCGCCTCCCAGATGGTGGCCTACTTCGCCAACGGCACCGCGCAGCTGCGCGGCCGCTCCGTCTACGTCCAGTTCTCCAACCACAAGGAGCTCAAGACGGACCAGACGCACTCCAACGCCGTGAGTCGAGCGGCGGCGGCGCCACGCCGTCCCTGCGTAGTGTCAGCGCGTGGAGGCGCGGCGAGCATGGACCGGGGTCAGGATGGCGCAGACGGACTGGCTCCGACTGCTTCAGCGGGCGTTAATCTGTCTCCCGCGCGGCTCGCGCTCGTGCCTTGTGCGAAGCGCGGTGTCGCTAGACGCAGCTTAGCACGGAGCGTAGAAGCCCGGTGTGCTCGGCGGGCACGTAGTTTTGCCCGGGTAGCTCGGCGAGTTGGCAGTCGCCGCGCGCCGTGCCGTCACCAGAAGCTGGCGCACCCCTCCGCCGGGCCCGCCGCAGACGGAGCGGCCGTGGGCGCGCGCGCGAGCGGGCGCCGGCCCATGAGCGCGCGCGGCAGCCGGCTGATTGGGCGGCGGCGTGACCGTCCGATCGAGTCCAGATTGGGCCGGATTGAATCAGTCGGCGGCCGCCTCGGCAGCGCCGCCGGCCGGCCATGTGTCGAACGCGGCCGCCGACCGGCTAACCAGGTTAGCGGCCCGCGCGCGCGCCTGGTGCCGCGCCGCCCTGCGCCGCCGTCGACTCGATTAAGCGCCGGCAGGGCCGCCGCGCGCCCGAATTAAAGCCCGAATCAGATGGTGATTGTGTTTAATGACGGTGTGCGCCGGCCGAGCGAGCCGGCGAATGGGGGTGGCCGCCGCCTGCGACGTCGGAAGCTGCTGCTCGCATCTGCGCATGCAAGCCTGCGGACCATGCGAGTGCTGATTGGCTCGGTTTTAGCGCCGCGGTTGCAGCCGAGTACATCCGTCAGAGTGGGCTCTCCCCAGCGCCGCTGAGCTCATTGTGTTTGCGTTATGGACGCGCTGCCAAGCCTCCCTGTGCCTTCGTTTATCCGCCGCACAGGCTCTGTTTGTCCGTCTGATGTCCGTCTTGTCGTCTCTATTGGTGTACTCACTCAGCGTGTTCCTAGCCGCTTATTTGGTGTGGGGATCGTCTGGACGCTGTGCTGTGCCTCACCAGATGGCGCGCCTGTCCGACCTCGGCGGGCGGCGCACCTGTCTGACCTCGTGTCCGGCCGGCCGGCCCCACCGCGCCCAGCCCATGACCGACCCACGTCACTGGCCGAAACCAACGACCAGTTGCCGTGTGTGAAACTCCCCATGCTGCTGACTGTCGGGCCGGCCGGCCGGCTGTCGTGTCGGGCCCTTATGCTGCTGGCTGCTCTGCCCGGTTACGGCAGAGGTGCCGCGGTGCTCGTGGCCGCGTCCCGGCGTGGGACGGCCGGCCGGTGTCGCTGTCTGACCGTGCGGCCGCGTGTGTCGACAGAACGCCTCGGCTCAGGCGGCGCTACAGGCCGCCCAGTCCATGTCGGGCGGCGACACACAGGGCGGCCCCAACACCGTGCTGCGCGTCATCATCGAGCACATGGTCTACCCGGTCACCCTGGACGTGCTAGAGCAGGTGAGACCGGCGCCCAGAGCGGCGAGCGGGTGCCGCGTGCGCCGCCGCGAGCTGTCGAGCCGCGGCCGGCCACCACCCAGCTGCGGGAGGCGAGGGTCGACTCGGGGGCGGCCGAGTCGGACGGACGAGGAAGACCTCGTCGCCGGAGAGCCGGACGCTGGCGGGCCGACGCGACGGCTCGGCGCCGTGCGCGGCGTGCCTTTGCGCAGCTGCGGAGATCGCGGCCGGTTATTTGCCGTCGGTCTGTGCAGCGCTGGCCGCGGCGGGTTGCAGACGGGCCGACGTATCGCGCGTGAGTCAGCCGGATGGCCGGCTCGTGGCGCGCGCGAAGCGAAGCCGCCAGCGGCCGGGCTCGCGTTACTCGTGCGCGGTCGGGTTCAGCTGGGCTCGGCCGGCGGCCGCCTCCGCCGCCCCCGTCCCGGCCTCCGCCGGTTAGATCACGACGGCCCGTGACCCTGAGGTGGGGGCGGGGGAGGGGCGGGCAGCTGTGGCCGGGCCGGGCCGGCCGCGGCGTGTCAGTCGGCAGCGCTATCGTCGGCCGCCGCCTCCCACGGAGAGGCCGTCCGAGGGCCGGTGTCAGCGCGACACAGATGGACTGTTGTGGAGCGACGGGGCGCCTCCGATCGACGGCCGGACGCGGCCGCCTGCCGCTGGTGCCGGCCACCGGGAACCGAGCGTCGCGGCTTGTCCGCGGACGGATGTTTGACACGCTGCCGGGCGAGGCGTCACGGCGCCGGTGCTGCTCCCCGCCGGCCGCCCGCCGGCCGCCGGTGTTCCCGGGCGGCGGCCGGTGCCGGCGCGCGCCATTGTACGCCGCCGGCGGCGCGCCTGCTGCGGCCGTGCGGCGGCCGGGCCGTGACGGCTCCGGCGGCGGCGGCGTGACGGGCCGGCTCAGGTGCGCCCGGCACCGGCCCGCACCGGCCGCCGGATCGATGCTCGCGGCCAGGCCCCCGCCGGCGCGCCGTGGGCGGGCCGGCCCCGCGTGAGAGGGCGAGCGCTGCGGCGAGGCGGTGCGCGGCTGGACGGCGGCGGGAGGCGGGCAGCCGCGCTCCCCAACAGCGGACGTTGTGGAGGTAGGAGGCCAGGCGACCCACCGCAGGCACAGGTCTGGATTACTTCTGGGAGGGCACGTGCAGGCGGGCTGGTTATCAGAGAGGTGCATCTACACCGACAAGCGGCGTGGGCACACGAGCTGCTTTATCGTCTGTCAGGGCGGTTATTTATGGCTCGAGTCCGGTCGTGTTTCAGGCGGGTGCCTTTGACCGTCTCAAGTCGCGCAATCCGCACGGTGCTCCGCCGCCTTGCTCTCCGTCCCGGCCGCTGTGTCGCCCGCCGCTGTTTTTCCCGGGCGCCGTATCGATTTCGATTTGAATTACCGGCAAATTATGCAGGCGCACGGCGCGCGCTGGCGTATACAAAGTGTGTCCGGCGGCCGTCAATTGCGGCCGCCTCGGCCGCCGACCGGTCGCAAATTGCCGGGTGGCGTCCGGGCGGCGCGGTAAACACCGGCCGACCGACGGGCCCACCCCCGGGTCCACCCCCGGGCGGCCGCGGCCCGGCCCGATCTGGCCCGGCGCACCTGTTGTGGCATCCGGCGCCGCCGACCAGCCCTGGACCTCGGGGCTCGCCCACCCGAGCCAGGCTCAGGGACGGCGTCACCGGTCGGGCGGGATGGGAGGGGACGGCCGTTTTCACCATTTCTGGAAGCAAAGAAGGCCCCTCGAAAGCGCGGGTAGGGTCCAGCGTACATGTTGAGTAACATCGGTGAGGCCAGGAGTTCTTGTAACGGCCAAGAACGTAGTGCAGTGGTCGGCAAGAGGCCCCAGTTTGGACTGGTCGGCTGTAGTCGGAGGCGTTGATGCTGTTGGAGGCACCATCGCGACCAAGAAGTGGCGCCGCCTTCCTTTCCAGACATTCTAAGTTGAGGTCTTTGGGCAATACCCAGCGCCCGGCCATCACCACTGTGATGGCAACGTGCTGGGAACCTCCGTCGTGACTAGAAGGCCCCTGGTGAGGGACAGGCGATCCCAGTCGTGTATGGTAGTGGACATTAGCACGGTGTGGAGGTCGCAGTACATGCGACGTGCTTGGATGATGCTTTAGTGCTCCAGCGAACCTGTGGCACCGGTGCCTTAGAGAAGTAACGTCTGTCATCCATGCCATTACGAACGACGTCTTCTATTTATGATGTGGCGTGTTAGAGAACGCGTCTAACTTCGCCGTCCGAGATGTCCCGTAGGAATGCATAGGTGTCTGATAAGGCGTTGCGCCACGAGTGGCCACAGTGAAAGTCAAGGCCGACATTCATTGCGAGGCCGCTTGGACTGAGGAATCCTGCTTGACCGTGCGGACCCACCAAGGTTCTGACCTGGCCACCGGCCGGAGGGTTCCGGGCTGCGCTCCCGGCTAAGGCTGACCAGCGCTGCTAGGACCGGTCCGTGTCGCGTGTACAACATGCCTCGGGGGACTGGGCACTAAGCATGTCGCCGATAAAGACTTCCATCAGTTGGGGATACTGCCCCTTGGGTTTTGTCAAGTTTATATCGCTGCCTGTGCCTGCAGCTCGGCGCTTGTGTATTGTACCACGGCAGTCATCAGAGAAGTGGCTCTGGCACTCCCTGGAAATGGCGACACCGGAATGGATCATGCACCCGCGTTCTTCGAAACAGCGTTAAACCCCTCGGGAATGCCGATGATTGTACGAGTGTACCTAACGGTTGCCAGCTTAGCGTGGCTGTCTCCAAGCCGGGGGCCGGGCAGCGCGGAGCCATCAAAAGCCTCGGGCACGGATGGCGAGCCGGCGGCCGGCGGCGCGCGGGCACGGGCACGGCTCTGGGCCCGACTACGGCCCGGTCTAATCCGATTGTGGTTGGCGCTGGCCTAGAAATGGATACCTGGACGGCGGGCAAGACGGATGGTGGTGGCCGGCGGCGCGCCGCCGTCCCGGGGGACGTCCTAATGAAGGGCCGCGGGGCTCGGGGGCGGAGGTCGGGCCCCGCCTCGGGCACCGCTCTCAGGGGAGCGCGCTGGAGCGACGTGGTGGGCATGTGCGGTCGGGCCGGCCGGAGGAAACGGAGCGAACGGGCGAGACCGAAACGTTCAGACGGGATCGATTCGCGAACGAAATGATGCCCGCGGCCACGACTCGTGACGCCGCTTGGAACCGTGACGCGGGGCTCCTGACGAGAAGCTGTTGCGGCCGGCTCGTAAACTGGGGCAGGATTGATCAAGTGATAGTTAAGGGCATTTTGAGTTACTTTGGCCGGGGGGGGGGGGGGTGTTCGGGGATGCCTCAGACTCCAACCTGTTATGTGCCCATTGATATGGGCGTTCGCCGCGGGTTGCCTTGGCATCCCGGCGGCGGCGGCAGCGCGGCGTACTTGTGATGCTACCGGACGCCGCTAGGCGGCGCCGCCCGCGCCGGCCGTCCTCACGACCGTTGTCCGGCCTGACGTGAACGGCGAGCTCCCGTCGTCGTGCCGGGGTCAAACGGCGCCACGTGGGGTCCCGATGTCTCCGCAGTGACCGGGAAATGGCCGCGCTGACGTCCTGTTAGCGGCCAACGCCTCGGAAAATAGGCGCCGTCGACCGTGCCGCCGCCGACTCCGCACGCTCCTAACTTGCCATTGAGTCCGAGTTAGTTCAGTCGTACTAGATTGAGCACCGCGGAAGCGTCCCGACTTTAGAGATAAAGTTGCCGTTGTGGAACTTGAATGCGTGTTTGCCCGTGATTGGGCGTGCGCATGGGAAAACTGTTGCACGCTGTCAGTAAGATTGAGTGCGCGATTTCTGTCCAGGTCAATGGCCCGCCATACCCCATGGCTTGTCTATGGCCGCAGGCTACCCCAGGGCTCGGTGTGACTCGACCTCAAGTGACTACGACCGTAGCTACCAATCTCACTTTGGCCATGAATTGTCACTTGGCGTTGTTGTGAATTGAATCCACGTAATCCCGACTGCCGAAACGGTCATGTGAAGGCCCATAAAAGCGCTCGATAAATCCTCGGCAGTGGTGTTTCGTCGATGTGTGTGGTGCTTCGTCGCCGCTCGCGCCGCCAATGGACGCCGCTAGCGACCGTTTGACGGCGCGACGGACTGTTCGCCAGCCGACCCGAGCGCACCGGCACTGTCGGCGGTGCCGCTGCCGGCGCCGCGGCCCAGCGCGCTCCGCCGGGGACGCCGGCCGGCCGGGGGCCGCCGCGTCCCGGAGCTGGGGCGCCCCGGCGCCGCCCGCCCGCGCCGGCTCCGTCCGTCGGCCCGGAGACGGCGGGCTGACACACGCGATCGTCGCCGCTCGGGCCACCTAATTGGGTATTAGTGGGCTGGCCGGCGGCGGCCGTCGGGAAATGACCGGCCTCTCCGCAGGCCGCGCTCGTCAATGCTGCGCCGCTATTTACGTGCGCCGGTTGTCGGTCGTCGGCCGCGGCGGGCACGCTGATTGGCCGTGCGGTTGACGGCTGTCCGCGCTGATTGGTCCTGTGGCTGGTGGCGGCCGGCGGAGCGTCGCGATGCTGATCGGACGGCTGCCTGTTTCCAGATCTTCTCCCGGGTGGGCAAGGTGCTGAAGATTGTCACCTTCACCAAGAACAACTCGTTCCAAGCGCTGATCCAGTACCCGGACGTCGTCACCGCCCAGGCGGCGAAGCTGGTGAGTCCCCTCGCCGCCTCCAGGCTCGGTGACGTCAAAGAGAGATGGAGCATTCGGTGCGGCGCCGCCGAGGGACTTAATGAACTGTTGATGCCGAGTCCGGCGAGCGGGGCTTAACAGGCCTCTCGACCGTGAACGTCTCCGATCCTATTGACATATTGGTGCGCGGCACAGTGTAGTGTACGGAGGGCGGGCTGCGCGGGACAGTGTGGTGTACGGAGGGTGGGGTGCGCGGGACAGCGTGGTGTGCGGGGAGCGGGGTGTCCGGAAGGTGGCGATGGTTAAGTGCGTGACGCGTCTAAACGAGGTACCTTTCAAACATGGCTGAGCCTGTCGCGGTGAATGACCTAGACACGGCCCCTGTCTCGCGAAACAGCAGCGTGCCAACGGGCGAGCGCTGCTCCCAGGCCGCTGTGCGGTCCGACGCAACAGCGGGCGCCGTACGGTCTGCTATTCGGCCCAAAAAGGCTCGACACTGGCCGATTTTGGCCGCATCCCGCCGCCTCCCGCCTCTGGAATCGCCAGTCGCAGCGTCGCCGCTCCGAACCTGCCAGCCGGCCGCCAGACTTGAAATCGCCGGCTCTTGCGTCGTTACGGCAGGACGGCCGTAGCAGGCGGTGCTCCGCTGCCGCCGCGATCACCGGCCGCCACCGGCTCATCCGCTGAGTGATCTGGGCGTGCTGCGGGGCGGCTGGCCGGCCCCCGGCCGCCCGGCCGCCCGGCCGCCGCCCTCGCAAACACTAGAGACCGCTGCCACGTACGATAACTGATGCTGCTGATGAAGGCCACTCGACGACGGGAGGGCCGGGCTGACGACTAATACCGGCGGGTTGACTGGGGGACGGGGAGAGGGGGGAGCTCTGTTGTGTTCCGCTCCAGGTGGGCGCCGGGAGGCACGGCGCGTGCTGGAGCTGTCTGCTGAGGGGAGGAGGGGGGGGGGGGGGGGGCTGTGCTGTGAACCCCTTCCGTCGCGCGCTGGGAGGCACCAGCTGGGGTCCTGGACGACCCTGCAGCACCAGGTACACCCCGGGGGGCGTGACCCGGGCGGCTTGGCGAGCACGACCCGTCGCCCGTCCCGCGACCGAGCGTCACCGCGTCTGCAGCGACCCCCAGCGGCCCTGAATGGCTAGCACGGGAAATGTGATTCGCGTCTCGGACGCCGCTGTAGCTGCCGACACCCCGGGGAGTGGTGCTTGAACGGGCGGGCGGGAAATGGCCGCCGCTGCTGAGCTCTCCGTGACCCTCCCGGTCTGCCGCGGCCGGCTGGAGGGGAGGGGGCGCCCGTCCAGCGGGGCACGACACGACTGCGCCGTGTCGTAAGTCGGCAGAAGCTACGGCCAGGACGGCAGAAGCTACGGCCGGCCGGTGGCGAACGGACACGGGCGCCGCTGAAGGCCACGGGCCGGCCACGAATGTCTGCTCGCGGCCGGGCCGGGGCGAGAGTTGAGCTCCGGGCAAGTCAACCCGGACTTCGAGACCAGGCGCGTCCTTGGGTCCGCCCATTCAAAAGTGATGGCGCCGAACGGGTTTCGATCGATATCAGACAGGCGCTCTCGGCTGGCCAAATGGTCTCGGTGGGTGAGCTGTACGCACCGGCGCCGGCGCACCCGCTGCGGCGCGGCCTGGCACCCGACACCCAGCGGACGTCGCCGAGAGAAGGCTCGGCGTCGCTCCGACGCGGCGCCGCCGCCGCCGCCTTGTGAAGCGGCGCGCGTTTGTTTGCCCATCGCCAGGGGTGACGGCCGGCGCATCGGACGGCCGCGCCGCGCCGCGCCGTCACCGGCGTCGGCCTGCTGTTTGTCTCCGCTGCCCACCCGATTGCGTGTTTTGGCGGCGTTGTTCGGCGCGCTGATTGCGTCGGCGTCCGGCTGATGGGCTGCGGCCGCTGCCGATATCGGGCGGCGTGATGACTGGTCAGGCGGCGCCGAGGTGTGGCCGACGCCGCCGGAAAACAGTGGTCAGGCCGCGCCGGGCGCGCTCGATTCGACGGCGCGCTCGGTGGGCCGGAACGCCCCGGCGCAGACGGGCTCGCTCGATTTGCTGGATGCTGCTGTCGATGGTCTGTTTGCTGCGGTGGTGCTGGAGTGTGGCCAGTGCCGTTAATAATGGCGCAGGGCTTCCCGCACAGGGGCTGGCGAATGAAGCCATTCGTCCACTTCCCTCGCCCGCGGCGCCTTTCCGTCTCTCACGGCCGCGCCGTCTCTCTCCCCAGCAACTGGACGGCCAGAACATCTACAACTCGTGCTGTACGCTGCGCATCGAGTACTCGAAGCTCACCAGCCTGAACGTCAAGTACAACAACGATAAGTCTCGCGACTACACCAACCCCAGCCTGCCCACAGGTGACCCCTCGCTCGATTCTGCCTTTATGCTGGGAGGTAGGTGTACGGGCTGTGGCCGCTTGGGGCGGCGGGCGCTGCCGCCGCGGCCGGCCGCCGGCCTGGGTGCGCCGCCCCTCAGGCGGCGGGCGCCGGCCGGTCGCGGCAGCCGCGGCCGCGCGCCCCCTTCTCGTTAACCGCACTGCTCCGCTCGCTGAGACGCTAGCCGCACGGGCGCACCGCGGGGCGGCCTGGCTGTGTGGCTGTTGGCGGGTGTGATGTGTGGTGCCGCCCCGCGACCCCATGCACCTCTCCGCTCACTCCCCGCCCACTCCTCGTGGCGGCTGGCCGGGGCCGGTTCCACCGCCGGCACGGCGACGTCCTCTTGGCTCTCACGCTCTGGCGCTCTCGCCTGATGCCTCCCGCCCGTGAGATTGTCTCCCGTTCCGTTCCTCTCGCCCGTGACACACTCTCGTCCCGGCCCCCTCACCCATGAGGCTGTCTCTCGTCGCGTTTCTCTCGCCCGTGAGACACTCTCGCCCCCTCCCTCCCGCCCGTGAGGCTGTCTCTCGTCCTGTCCCTCTCACCTGTGAGACATTCTCGTCCAGTCTTTCTCGCCCGTGAGGCTGTCTTTCGTCCCGTCCCTCTCGCCAGTGAGACATTCTCGTCCCGTCCCTCTCACCCGTAAGGCTGTCTCTCGTCCCGTTGTTTTCGCCCAGCGTCTGCCCCTGTCAGGTCCCCTAATTCTCTTCCTGCTTCTCGGTATTGACTTGTCAGCCTCTTGGGCGCATATCCATCCACCATCGGCGTCTGGATGGTCCTTCTGTGTATCCCACCTGCACCGATGCCCATCTGCACCATCTCTTCCCCGGCACCGTCGAAGGGCGCAATGAATGTTTGCCCCCTGCCCCTCCCCCGGTGTACAGCCCGTGTCTCTGCCGTGGGTGGGTGTGCACGACCGGTGGTTGCGTTTCGACGGCTGGCTGGCAGTCTCCATGCGGTTGCGATGCTCGTTGACAGGGCGCTTACGCTATTGGCCGCTCCAATCACACACTAACCGCCTCCCAACACGTGCGGGGGATGGCCCCCAGCTTGCCGGTGGAGAACCTGGTGAACGCCGCCATGTTCAGGGTTCCGACGAGGCTGTTAACTGACTGGCGTTGTGGGCACTGTGCTTCAAGTTAAAGGGTGGTTCTGTGGCAGATCATATGTGGCATGCGTTAATTTCCTGTTAGGCTGGTTCGAACAGTATGTCATGGCCCGCTTTTCCAAGGGGTTATTTGTGCGAAATGTTTCGAAACATTGAAAATGTTCAAAAATCATTCATACTTTGTGGGTTTGTCTAGGTGTACATATGCATATGGCTGATTAAAACGACCTCTGATTTCACATTAGCAAGTTTCTTGATGCATCGTTCGAGCTTCCGGGCTTTCGACTTAACAGCTTTGTTAGGGTAAAATATTGCACATGAAATAACGAGTTCTCTCCAGCCCTAAATAAACAAGCAATTCTTACAGAGTTCTGGAGTTATTGGGCGGTGGGCGGTAGCTACTTAACATGTGATGTGGCTATGTGTTATTGTGGTGTTTTCGCTGCAGACATATTGTACGCTTATTGAAGTAACGGTATTAATATTTGTCTTCTCCGCACCAAAACATGTTTTTGAGATAGCGATGCACAATGTTTGTTCTCAAAAGCCTTTCGACCCATTACTCGTACCATTCATGTTTATCCGGCAATGAATAAGGTCTGCAAACGTTAGAATGTACAGATATCGACGAATGTATAAGTGATGTTGAACGAACAGTTTTTTCTTAACGATGCTGCTGTGTCGAAAACCCAGAACCTCGAACAATGCATCAATAAGCTTATTAGTATAGAATTGTCGGTTGTTTTTAATGAAACGGGCATAAAGGAAGCTATTCTGTCATGATATACATATATATATATATATATATATATATATATATATATATATATATATATATATATATATATATATATATATATATACTCGCACACACAGAGGTGTGTTTGTGTAGGTGAATGCATATTGCATACCGTTTTAATCCTAACGCAAATAGGTTATCAAGTAGCGTTTAATATGGTGCAATGTTTCAAACCATCTTGTGATGTTCCTGTGTTATGCATAATACGTATTGGGTATGAGGTCCGAACATTGAAACAAGGTTCCGACTATTTCGCACAATAAACCCTACGTAAAGATGGCCGATGTAGCGAATGTGTGTGCTGCGATATAGAGCACACTATCGGAATGCCCGTTACAGTTGTACGTTCAATGGGTGGCATATCTGTAATGTGTCATGTTTGCGACACGTAGAGGCGATATGCGTCTGTTGTTTGGTTGTTAGCTTGCTATATGGTGATGGTGATATCCGCTGTTACTTGCGTTGAATGTTTGCCCGCTATTCACTCGATATGTCTGTCGTTACCTTTATGTTCGCCATTCCCTGCTGCACAATGACCATTTGTGTTATGTTTCCCTGTCTGGTGACCTGTATTATACGCATCTTTCGTTTCCGATCTGTTTACTAGCTTCGTGCCGCCTTTGTCTGCTGCTCGGCCGCGGCGTCATGTATCCGCTGTCAGGACCGAGTGTGTTGCGTATGTCCGCGCTGGTGGTGTGTTGCGTGTATCCATTGTCACTACAGGCGGCATGTCCGACATGTCCGACATGTCCGACATGTCGGGCGTGTGCCTTTTGAACCGCCAAGTGTTAGATGTGTTTTCTGTCCGCCCGGGCGGCACGTTAGATGTGTCTGCCGTCCGCCCAGGTTGTATGTTGGATGTGTCCACTATCCAGCTGTCCGCATCGGCGGCTTGTCGGATTTGTCCGCTGTCGGCACACGCGGTGTGTTGCGTGTGTCCTGCTGTCCGCCCAGGCGGCACGTTAGATCTGTCCGCTGTCCGCCCAAGCGGTATGTCAGGTGTGTCCGCTGCCGGCACTGGCGGCGTGTTACGTGTGTCCGCTGTCCGCCCGGGCGGTATGTCAGGTGTGTCCGCTGTCCGCCCGGGCGGTATGTCAGATGTTTCCGCTGTCCGCCCGGGCGGTATGTCAGATGTGTCCGCTGCGAGCACCGGCGGTGTGTTACGTATGTCCGGTGTCCACGCAGGCGGCTCTCCGGGGATGCTGTCGCCGTTCGGACTGCACGGCCTGGCTCCGTCTCTGGCCGGCTTCCCCGGCATGGGTGGCATGGCGGGCATGGCCGGCATGGGAGGTAAGAACCAGCTCTTCGACCAGCGCGCCGACTCGGTTCCCGGACGGCCTGAGAGGTTGTTTTTGCACCCCAGGTCCTCAAGGGCGCGGTGCTGAATCACCTGGCTACTTTTGCTTCGCTGTGTACCCGCTCTCTGACCGCTGTTTATTTTCTCACCGGCGAATTTATGGCGGCCGCGTGGCTCGCCTCCGCTCCACACCGGTGCCGCCCAGTTGCGGCGGGAATAAATTATCAGCCGCATTTGTCGGTCCGGATGTTAGCCGGGCGTCGTCATTGACAGCTTACGCCGAGAGAGGCGGTTATTTACGGGCGCCGGCGCCGGCCCGGACGCGGCCGGCCACGCCGGCGGCGGCCGGTTGGTATTCTCGCCGCCGCCGGCGGTATAAACCGCGGCAGCGGCGGCCACTCCCAGCCGGCCGCCGGCCGGGCCGGCGAGATCGCCCCGGCAGACACTTCCATTACGTCGCCGATGGGGGGCCATCCGGCGCCGGCCTCAAGTGGCGCGGGGCCGGCTGATGACGTCCTGATGGCGCCGCTGATGACGCCTTGATGGCGGCCGTGATGACGTGCGGGCGCCGTTCCGCGCGGCCCGGGGCGATGTTGCGTCGATAGCGCGCGACGGGCGCTGCAGCGGCCGCTCTGGTTACGGGCGGGCGTCGAGCCGTGCCGCGCCGCCGCGTCCGCCGCTAACGCCGCCGCTCCCGTTACAGTGCCGTTCGGAGGTATGATGCCGGGCGGCCTGGCCGGCGCCGCCATGGGCGTGGGCCGACTGCCCGGTCACCACATGACCGGCTGTGTGCTGCTCGTCTCCAACCTGGACGAGGAGGTACGTGGGCCGCACCGGCCGTCACCGCCGCCGCTGCCGCCGCCGCCGCCGCCGCGCGCCGCCCGGTTCGCTCTTCGCTGTGCCGCCTCGCTCCTGTTCCGCTTACGACTTTCGTCCGCCACTGGACGCCGTCTGTAAATAGTCTGTCGCTCTGGCGGCGCGTCGCGTCTCGGTCACGGCGTGCTGCGCGCGGCCAGCCGGCTTTGGGATGTGTACAGACGCTGGTCCTGGCGGCTGGGGCGCTGTGCTTCATACGTGTTACTTTGCGGGTGAATTCGTCTCATCGGGCAGGTTTCAGTTGGTTTGGTCGGATGATGAACAAAGCCGGGCTCAAGCATAATTGAAATCACTCTGATTGACTGTGGAAACACGTTGATTTCGGCTTCGTGACCGCGTGTAAGCTGCCTGCTGTCGTCCGAGCCCGGGTTTTGGACCGGGCCGACACTGCATCAGAGTTCAGCGGCGGTGTGGCCAGTAGAGTACCTGATTAGCTAGCGGTCTGAAGGTGTGTGTAGTCTGTTTGGCCCTTAGCAGTTGCCCTAGCGTGTTGACGTCACCTAGGTTGGCGTGCGGCCTGCGGGCGACCGCCCGTGTTGAGCGCGCGCGCCGTCAGCGGGGCTTGTTCTAACCGGTCTTCTCTCTGTTTGCCTGCCGCGCCCTCCATCTGTGCGTCTGTAGATGGCCTCCCCTGAAGCTCTCTTCACTCTCTTCGGTATGTTGCGTTTCTTACTCTCTTTATGAGCCGATCGTTCGCTGTTAGCTCTGGCGGTGCTCTCCGCGCCGCGTGACTCGCTGTTGCCGCGCGGCGGCTGGAGAGCAGCTCGGACACCGCTGCGGACTCCGCCGCGGACACGACCGTGTCCGGCGTGTCCGCGGAGCGGCGCCAGCGGCCCGGTCCGAGCTGCTCCCTCCGCGCCGGCGACCTTAGAGGTTTGCCCTGTCTGGCCCTGCGTAACGTCACGTCCAGTGAGGTGCTCTCGCGTTCGATGCCGTTAAGCACCTTTCTCGACGCTTGCAACGCGTCTGCGTTCATCGGTCGGCGTGCTCGCCTTGGCCTTCCGTGTCTCTGCCGCGCCCGAGGCGCCGACTGCCGCTGCCGTGCCTGGTCGGCTCGCGCGTTCGCCGTCGCCGCGACCAGGCCCCGCTCACCGCCGGCCGCCCGCCTTGCAGGCGTTTACGGCGACGTGCACCGGGTGAAGATCCTCTTCAACAAGAAGGACAACGCCCTGGTACAAATGGCGGAGCCGCACCAAGCCAGCCTGGGTGAGTCGGCTGGCCGTCGGCCGGCCTCTTTGCCAGATTAGAAGTTGTGTTTACCGGCGGGGCCGTGTTTGTCGGCGGCGGGCCCGGGGGAGGTGGCCGGCCGCTGTCCGACAGACGCTGCCTGCCAAGTCGGTCCGGTGCGACCCCGGCGCCGGCAGGACGTCCTTGCGGCGGCCAGGTCGCGCCACGGCCTGATGGATTGCCTGCCGCCGCGACCACCGGGCACAGATTTGTCGGAGCGATCGTGCGCCGCGTCGGCCGCGGCTGGCGCGGGCGGACGTCCGCGCACGGCGGCGCCGCTGTGCTGACCGCCTCGACCTCTGCCCGCAGCGCTGACCCACCTGGACAAGGTGAAGGTCTGGGGCAAGCAGATCCGCGTGATGCCCAGCAAGCACCAGGTGGTGCAGATGCCCAAGGACGGGCAGCCGGACGCCGGCCTTACCAAGGACTTCAGCAACTCGTCGCTGCACCGCTTCAAGAAGCCGGGCAGCAAGAACTACCAGAACATCTACCCGGCGTCAGCCACGCTGCATCTCTCCAACATCCCGCCGCACGTGACCGAGCAGGAGATCCGCGAGGCGTTCGAGCTGTCGGGCTTCGCCGTCAAGGCCTTCAAGTTCTTCCCGTGAGTGGCGGACGCCCGGCGCGGCCGGCGGCGCGCTGGCGCGGGGCGCCGAGCTGCCTCGGAGCGTCTGGAAAACGCTGCAGGCGCGACGTCACGATGAGTTACGGCGCTCTGCTGCTCTGCATGGGCCAGAGTTATGGTTATGTTGAGTCGGCGGCAGGTTTACGAGGAGAAATGGGCCGGCCGCCTCACAGGATTCGGCAAGGTGCACTCGCCGCCGTTCCATCCGTTCCCATTTGGCCGTCGGGTCGACCAGAGCCCCACCATCAGAGCGGCCGTGGACGGTCTGGACTGAGCGCCGCCGCCGCCGCCGCGCCTGACGCTGATTATGAGCTGGTGCGCTCGGCGGGCGGGGCCGGCGCCGGCTCCGGCGGCCGAGGCGGCCGCTCCGCCCCCTGACGACCCGCTCTCGCCGCAGGAAACGGGACAACCAGGAGGGCGATAACGGCCAGCGTCGGGACCACCGCATGGCGCTGGTGCAGCTGAACGGCGTGGAAGAGGCTGTCATGGCCCTTATCGTGAGTGTCGGCGGATGGCCGCGGCCGCTGGTGCTGGTGCTGGGCGGCTCGGCTCGGCGCGTGCCGTGCCGTGCCGTGCCGTGCCGTGCCGTGCCGTGCATGTGGGTGGGAGGTCTGAGGAAAGACAATGAATGGGCGGGGTAGGACCCTGGGATTGCTGGATTAGTTCTGGGATTCACTATTTGGTGCCGGGTTTATTTTTGCTTCGCTTCATTATCGCTGGGTAATTATTATGCGTGTTTTGAATCACCGTAATCAGTGAAGTTACTGGGTTGATGCAAAGCGATCAATGAATGTTTTCCATGCGATTGTGTTTTCGGACGTTTTGTTCCTGGGCGGGCTCATTCAACCGAAGGGAGGAGGGCATTGCCTCTTTGCGCGGTAACAGTAGATGACGACGACCCGTTGTTGGAGAACGGGTGCTACTGTCGCGACCGCACAGCTTCAGCTCGCTGGGACCGTCGCACAGCTTGTGGGAAATGACCCCCACCGTGTTTTATGCGGGCAAAGCATTTGCGGCGACGGAAAGTCATTCGGGGCTGCTTTTGAGTGCCTGAATTTAATGGCCGATCGAGTGTAAGCTACTACCTTTTCCATGCGGAAATGAATCTCGGAAATGGCGTCTTAGCCAGTTTGACGACTGGTCTCTTTTGTGGGTGAAATGAGCGGCGTTTGAATGCTAGCAAATGGCCTGTTGAATGGGCGCCGGCCGTCTAGCTGGTCACAGCGCTTTGAGCGGTGCCCTGCGCACTGAATGCACGTTCAGATTGGTGGCCTGGCCGGAAATAACTAGGCGAACCGACGAACGTCCGGCCCGATCTGCGCAGGCCGCGGGATTGCCGCGAATAGCACGCTGAATAACGCCCCCGGGTGGCCCGCTTAGTTGTTGCGCAGAAAAATGAGCCCGTAACTCGGTGCCAATTTTAATTACCAAGTTTTAATTGGATTGGTTAAAGCGTCGTGACGGAGTTAGGTGCGCTCGTTATTGGCTGCCGGCGGCGCGTGGCCGTGGGACTTACGAGGCGGGGAGACCGGGGAGAGAGGTGACCGGGCACCGGAAGGGGCATCAGCTCAGCTGTTGCCTGCGTGGTTGAGTGTTCTGCCGTGGTCAGTGTATCGCTCTGGAGGCAACCTGGCTAGTCCGCTCCAATGGTTAACAAGTGTTCTGCAGGAAATTGGACAGCCGCCTGACACGTTCCGATCGTTTTTTTTCCTCAGAAAATGCACAACTACCAGCTCAGTGACGCCAACCACCTCAGGGTCTCCTTCTCCAAGTCTACGATCTAGACTATTCAGCCCATGCATCCAGCCGTCACAGCAGAGCCGCCGCCGCCGCCGCCGGTGGCGGCCCGGGCCGACGGTAGCGCCGCCGGGCGGTCGGCCGAGGAGGCTCCGCTTACGTCGCCGGCCACCCCGCGTCGCGTCGCAGAGAGAACTCCGTCTCCGCGCGGTACTGTGCGGAGACTATTTTTGCATTTGCTTACATTAGGTAGTGTATAGTTGAGTTTTGCATGCCCGGGGGCACTTGGAGTTTCCCGCGCAGGTAAATTAGAGGCATCTGACGGTGTTATTAACTGTCGACGCGTCGACCTGAAGTGCGTGGGGCCAGCGACAGAGACGGCGGCGGACGGCATGGACTGGCGGGAAGCCGGCGGACAGGCGAGTTCGGTGCGCCGGGCGCGGCGTGGTGTAGACAGATGCCAACGACCGAGGTAGCGGCGAAAGACGCGCGTGCGCGCGAGGTAGTTGTACCATTCCTGTAACAGCGAACAAAATTTTTTGAAGGCATTGTATTGTTAATTTATTGGTGTGGTGTCCGTGTTGAGGCCAGTGGAGCGGGCGGCGCGTTCTGCCCTGCGGCCGCGAGCGAGCGAGCGAGCGAGAGAGAGAGAGAACTACAAGGGAACAATTCAGCCGGGGGGCGGCCGGACGTCGCTGGGGCGACGGCGCTCCCGCAAACAGTATTGTGACAGCTTTAAGGCCCGTCTGTCAAATTAGTTTGGGCTGTGACAATCCTCTAAATCCGGCAGCAAAACCGCTCCATCCGCCCGCTCGGATAGTTGGCCGTCCGGCCGCCGGGTGGCGCTCGCGTCGCCGCGGCGGCCAGGCGTGAACATATCACTCAGACCTGACTATTTTTGTACCATCTCGGTGCCTTTGGGCTAGACGAGCACGGCTAGAGCGGGATCGGCTTTGTCTTTTCAAGTTCCCCTTGTTCTCTTGAACCCTGTGCATAAATATACATAGCTGTCTCCTTTAGATTTCGTCGTAGTTCTCTTTGTGTCTTCGGATTTTTTACTCGTAGTGTTTGTCTAGTGCGCCGATCAACAACCCGAAGCAGGCGTGTTCCTTTCGGCCATTTGTATTGAATTTGTATTGCATTGTATGGTGTGCGTTGTAGTTGAGCGCGAGCGACGCAGCTGTTCATGTTGTCGAGGGAGTCTCAGAGAGGCGGCCTCGGGCGGTGCCGTCATGGCCACCGATGACGTCACAAGCGCTGTGTGTGCGCGTGGTGCGGGCGCGGGCGCGCGCGCGCGTGTGTGTGTGCCCGCGGAGGCGTGCGGACCGTGCCAGCCGGTACGATTGGGCTTACTTAACGCTGAGTCCCGTGCCTTCGGCCGCCAGGCCGACTCGAGCCCGCTGCGCCGTCGCGCTGGCAGCTCCCATCCGTTGTTGAACACGCACCGGGCTCGAATCAGTGAGAGCCATTTTTGTAATAAAACCCGTAAACGGCCGAGGTGGGCCCGCATCTCGATGTCTCCCGGCCGCCCCTCCTGCGGCCAGCTGTCGCCTCCCTGTGCCCGGCCTCTCTCCGCCGTCTGCGTTTGTCTGTGTACCTTGCGCCTCCTGCTGACACTGTGTATTATTCCGGTAATTAAACCTCCTCGACGTTGAGCCGTGGTTTGTTCTGGTGTGACGCCGGTCAGCGGCGGCGGTGGCCGCGGGGAGCGGGCCTTCATTGGCCGAATGGAGCCGAGTGTGCCGATGGCAGCAAATCGAGCCCGTCTCGCATCAGCTTTGCGCGGGCCTACCGAAGACGTTTGGGGTGAGGGTCATCTTCACTGTCCGCTCACAAACAGCGCTGGCGTTGATTTTGGAGCACTTGTCCTTGCTTGCACTTGCTCTGCGTGAAGAAGTGTTTTGGAAAAAGCCCGACCGCTCGACGCGTAGCTGAATCACAGCCGACATACAGGACCTCGGGATCACTGACCCGGGGTGCCATCTGAAACAGTGAGGCAAGAAGATGGCGCGCGCTACAGGGGAACCAGCGATGGAGCTCATCACATGGATAATGATTAAATGTTCCCAGCTGTATGGTTCGACATGCCGATAATTACACTGCTCAAAACCCTGAGCGGTTCCCGTACCAAGTCTTTCACCTTGTTTTCTCTCATTTTATTGTATTTTTGCATTTAGCATTGGGTGGTGTGCGTATGAGATGCATGCCAGGCTACTTAAATTCAAACTGGAGAGCGGTTCCTGCGTGCCAATTCCTTCTCCATGAAATCGGCTGTCGCCGCTCCACTAACAAGGACGTAGTGCTCGCGTCCTTGGTGCTTATGTAACAGGGACAGGTTTTCCGCTCAACGTCAAGATGCGCTTGTGATTTGGGTACTTTGTTCGCATATTTGGAGCTGCTCGACAATAAAACATGCCACAGCACAGCTCTAAAACTGCACAGCTCTCTGACTCGTGCGCACAGTATGCCCATGAGGCGTCTCAATAAACATGTGAGGAAAGCAGCCAGCAGTGCTGTGGGACCCCGACCCAGGCGGTGTGGATATTTTTGATCTACTCGTTGGGCATAAGCGAGGATATTCAGATCAGGCACGGAATGGTTGCGTATCCGAGCACCCAGCGCGAACTTTGTGGCAAAAAACAAACTTTTAACAAGTCCTGCAGTTGTGTGGTGGGCTGGCCGGGCCGGGCTGTCCTGCAGCCGTGTGGTGGGCTGGCCGAGCCGGGCTGTCTGTTCTACAGCCGTGTGGTGGGCTGGCCGAGCCGGGCTGTCTGTTCTGCAGTCGTGTGGTGGGCTGGCCGAGCGGGCTGTCATGTTTCTGGCGTTCGGGTGGTGGGCTGGCCGAGCATGGGCTTCTGTCTGCATCGTGTGGTGGGCTGGCCGAGCAGGGCGTCTGTTTCTGCAGTCGTGGTGGTGGGCTTTCAGGAGCAGTCTGTCCGGTTCTATAACAGCCGTGTGGTGGGCTGGTCGGGCTGTCTGTTCTGCAGCCATGGTGTGCTGGTCGTGCCCCATGAGCCGGCTGTTGCTGCCGGACATCTTTAACTGGCGGGACGAGCAGCGCCCACAGCTGTCAGCACGCAGCCTCTTTGCAAACAGCGGTGGATGTGGACGCTTTATGTCGGAAATGCGATGCATGACTGGTCTATGTACAGGCATACGAGACAGGCAGGGGGGGGGGGGGTACGCTGGTGATGATGATATCACAATCTCCCGAGTAAAGCGGAAGGATCGTGTTTGTTTGTATGACAGCCCATCGCCGGCGGCCGGCTCAGCGCAGGAAGCAACATGTCACACGCGTGCAAGACCTCAGACCCGCGTAGAGCGACGCACGCATCTTGGCGACTTCCCCTAGCCGAAACGACTACTAAAAAAAGAACACCAGAAAAACGGCGTGGCCACCACTTTCCCACGGGACAAATCACGCTTGGACCTTGACGGCGAGCCGCGCGCTGCGGCGCACCCCGAGGCGCTTTGGCACAGAGTCCCACGGCGGCTAGACCCGTCTCGCGATCACGACACGCACACGCGGGAGACAGCACGGACGCGGTCCGGTCCAGTGGCCCCTCGTAATGCCCGGTCCAGTGGTCCGTGGTTAGGTCCGGTTCCGCCGTCCGTGGTATGGTCCAGTGGTCCATGATGTGGTCCGGTCAGGTCGTCCGTGATGTGGTCTGGTCCAGCGGTCCGTGCTCAGGTGCAGCGGTCCGCGGTCCACTCGGCGGCGACGTGGTGCCGACAGCGGTGGCAGCTTGGTCCGGTCGACGCCGTGACGAGCCAGGCCCCTCCCGCACTGGCGCCCTGTCTGCGCGGCGGGCCGCTCAGCCGCCCGTGAGTGAGGCGCCACCGCCGGGCCCGCCCGCCGCCGCTGCGACAGGCCTCCGGGCCCCCGGCGACAGCTCGACCCGAGCTCAGCGAGTGGACGGGTGCGAGGCGCCACGCCGCGTCTGGCTCGGACGAGCCGCCGCCCACGCGCCGGCGCGCGGGCGCCTCAGAACAGGTAGCGCCGGCACGCCTTGGCGCCGCACCTGCAGGAGATGCGCGCCGACGGGTGCCGGCCGAGCGGGCGGCGCGGAGACCTGGTGGGGCTGGCGAGCGGCGCGGCCGGCGCGTCGCCCGTCGCCTCCGGCCGCGGCGGGGTCTGCGAGCCGTCCTGCGGCGGCGGTGGCGGCGGCGCCGCGGCCGCGCCTGTCGGGCGCGCGAGCGGCGGCGGGTCAGCGGCGCAGTGACGGACGCCGAGGAGCGGGCTCTCCTCGGGCCTGTGCAGCTGCAGCGTACATCTAACCAGGTGCGCATACAGACGTTCCTCGTCTGAGCCCTTCTCACGCTTGGAACCACAAGTCAAATCTACACGTCTCAGACATGCCATCCCAGTAACCCAACAGGCTGCTGGCTGCAACCTCGTCGTTGCGATGCGAGGGTTCCTTAAACTATGCGCGTCACCGCGGTGGCTTAGGCAGACAGCACAGCACCAAGTAACGGCAGACATGCACTCCCTTCACTTGGCATCAAGCCAGGCGGAGCACTACGCCAAATGAGCAAACCGTACCTGATACCACGCCAACCTACTACGCCTGGGTTCGGTTTGACTTACGGTATCTCCCCGGCCAGCCGTGCGGCGCACCTGCTGTCGGGCTGTGCAGCTGGGCGGCCGAGGCGTTACTGCCGAGCGGCGAGTTGTAGTCGAACCAGAGCTGCTCGCCGCGGCCGATGTCGCGGCAGGCGAACAGCGCCAGCCGCGGAAGGTTCGGGTCCAGGCAGTCCGACCACACGCCGTACACCACCAGGTTCGGCTCGCACTGACGACGAGGGTTCATGTGTCTGGCTCACGCTGACGGCGGGGTTCATGTGTTTGGCCCACAATGACGGCGGGGTTTATGTGTCTGGCTCATGCTGACGGCGGGGTTCACGTGTCTGGCTCACGATGACGGCGGGGTTCATGTGCCGGGCTCGCACTGACGGCAAGGGTTTATGTGTCTGGCTCACGCTGACGGCAAGGGTTTATGTGTCTGGCTCACGCTGACGGCGAGGGTTTATGTGTCTGGCTCACGCTGACGGCGAGGGTTTATGTGTCTGGCTCACGCTGACGGCAAGGGTTTATGTGTCTGGCTCACGCTGACGGCGAGGGTTTATGTGTCTGGCCCCCGCTGACGGCGAGGGTTTATGTGTCTGGCCCCCGCTGACGGCGAGGGTTTATGCGTCTGGCCCCCGCTGACGGCGAGGGTTTATGCGTCTGGCTCCCGTTGACGGCGAGGGTTCATGTGTCTGGCTCACACGCTGACGGCGGGGTTGATGTGTCGGGCTCGCTCACAATGACGGCGGGGTTTATGTGTTGCACTACGCTGTGTCAGGCTCACGCTGCCGGCGGGTTTACACGGGCAATGCACGACCTCACAAAAAGATGCGGCCAAGGCCCTGACACAGACGCACAGCCCTGTCCGTGTCCGTGAGAATAATCACGAAAAGGACGCGATCTTGGTCATCGCAGGCCACACGCAGCGACTTCAACCATCACCGGTTCATCGTATGGGCAGCCGGTGCGGCACAATAGACCCGGCGTGTCCGTAATTTTCCCCGAAATCAGCCAGCGCCTCTCTATAATGAGTCTAGGTCCTGCCGCTCCGGCCCGCCTGCGCCGGCTCACCGAGTGGTTGATGAAGTGGGAGACGTTGCCGTATACAGCTGCGTCCACTGTGTACAGGTTGATCTGGTCGTTGAAGTCCAGGTCGAACAGGTAGGTCACGCCCACCGAATCTGAGGACATCCGTCTGCGTGTGAGACGGCGAGTCGGACACATCTGGAGCCGGAGAGCGCAGGCCACCATTCTGCTGTTCCGCCCAGCTGTGTGCAAAACTGGCGTAATCCATTTGCTTTAAACACAACGCGTGGCGCACACATTTAAGCAACATCAATTATCGAACTGACTCGGGACAAGTGTGACCTCAGGTCACATTTGCCGAGGTTAGAGCTGAAGACATCACGCTGATAACGCACAGACCCAGGACAAGGGTGACTGTGAGAAACCAAACGCAAGAAACAAAAAAATACATGATGCTGGGGGATCGCAACACCTTATCGACCCTGGTAACGACTCGTCGAGTTCGTGAGGAGGAAGAGTAATACTAATATTAAAACGACGTTACGTCCAATGACACCATCACTCCAGCCCGCGACCGTTGTGACATCCCCCCCCCCCCAACCCCTCAAGGCTGGGGGCCTGAGCAATCTACCGTACCGCCCTTGCCGACCTCCCCCCGCACCAGCCCTTCCGATCCTCTCACCGCCCCAGTACGAAACTCCCGATCTCGCATAGCAACAGCCCTCCCGACCGCCCACGGCTCGCCCCTCCCCATGCCCCCTCTCCGCTCCCAGCTCTCTCCACCGACCACTCACCGTACTGCTCGCCGCGCCGCTCGGCCTCCTCGTTGGTGATGACCTCGCCCACGTACTCGGTGACGAACGAGCCGCGCTTGATCGGCTCCAGCGTCTTGACGCCCCAGCCGCAGTCATTGGCCGTTCGGAAGATGGCCAGCTTCACCTGCGGCGCCATCACGGGAAGGGGTAACAGATAGACACGCCACCGGCGGCGCCGCGGCGTTAGCGGTGACTGTGTGGCACGTCACCGGCGGCACCGCGGCGTTAGCGGCGGCAGTGACGCATGCCACCGGCGGCGCCGCGGCGGCAGTGAGGCACGTCACCGGCGGCGCCGTGGTGCAAGGGGCAACAATTAGGCAGCCGCCAGCGGCGCCGACGCCGAAGCCCGGTGCTGAACGCGGAGAAACCGGGTGCAACACGACATCCGACGAAACGGTTTGTTTACCGTTAGCGAAATCCAAGCGTAGTTCGAGCCTAGCAAACGTTCTATTCGAACTTCAAACGTAAACCAGGTGCTTCTTTCGATTCTTGTCCGTCAAAAAAGTTAAAAATGCAGCGCTTCGGCCAGACGACAAAGACACACATGGCGGACGCACTGGGCGTGGGAGCCGTGCATGCCAAGGCATAGAGCGGGACAATGTGCCATCCAGAGGAAAAAAAACTGTTCCACAATAAACAAGTACGCACAACTCAATAGGGTCAGTCAGGCGAGCGCGTAGTGTCCGTGGCACCGCCGCAGCCAGCTCTGCCGCCGGCGCGGCCTGGTCGCCGGGCGTCGCTCACCTTGCGTCCCCTCTGGACGAGCCGGTTGATGCAGTCGGGACCGCACCGGCACACCTTGTTACACTCGTAGATGGGCTGGCCCACCTGCAGCCGCAGCTTGCCGCTCTTGGTGTAGGCGAACGGCGCGCCGGCCTTGGCGCTGCAGCAGGCGGCGCCCGACCAGCAGCGCTCGCACTCGCAGCCGATCACCGGCTCGCTGGGGATGGTGACGCCGTCGCCCGGCTGCCGGCGCCGGCGCGCGCCGCGTCACACACACCCAGCGGCGTCAGGCGGCACCACAGCGAGCACGTGCGCGCGGGAGAGCGGCGCACACCGCAGAGCGACGCCACCCCGCCACAGGAATCACGGGGTGATGACGGTAATCGATGTCAGCAGTGATCAGCGGATAGACAAAGTTCACTGTATTGTTAGCTGATCGCAGATGATGCTGCCTCATCGCGTTGGTGATGATGTCGACCTGGTCCTCCCGACACACGGCGCACATAACCCGGACCCCGAGCAGGTCTTAAGGACGAGAGGACCCCGTCGGAGGCCGCCAACGGCAGCCACACCCACCACGTAGTCGTTGCTGTAGATGAACGTCTCTGGTGGCAGCGCCAGGTCCACCGAGTTCTCCACCACCAGCTTGGCCGGCTCCGAGCACAGGTCGTTGAGCTTCTTCTCCCACAGCTTCAGCTTGACCATCTGCTCTTCGCGAGCCCGAGTCAGCCGGTGCATCAGCAGCTGGTCCTTCAGCTGCTGCACCTTGCGTAGCGCCTTCAGGGTGGTGGCCTTGACGCCCGTCCGCCGCACGAACGACTCGATCTCCTGGTGGCGGAGCGCGCGGGCGGCGGTGACAGCGGCGCAGGGTGCGCGGGGCGGCGGTGCGGCGGCGGCGAGAAGCGGCGCAAGGCGCGCGGGGCGGCGGTGACAGTGGTGCCCAGCGACTCACTCGCTGACCGGCACCTCATGACCCATTCGCTGGCCGGCACCCCGCGACTCACTCGCTGACCGGCACCCCGCGACTCACTCGCTGACCGGCACCCCTGCGACTCACGCACTGACCGGCACCCCGCGACTCACGCGCTGACCGGTACCCTACGACTCACGCGCTGACAGGCACCGAGCTCAGCGGCAGCGTGACCCCACCTGCACCCAAGCGCGACACCTCTATCCCTCTTACCATGTGCACAGTTGTGATGGGCTTCATTTTATCCTTGAACTTCAGTTGGCCGTTGACGCAGTGTCGGGAGAACTGCTGCTCCAGCTGCGCCTGCGTCAGCTGGAAGTGCTCCTCCTCGAATACGCGCACGGCGTTCTCGCGAGACGCCGTCGGCTCCGTCTTCCGTCGCCTGAGGCGGGGATGGACGTGACGTGACAATCTAGCGTGACCTGACGAACCACTGGTACACAAAGGCGGGACGCGAGCAAATTAAAGCACGCAACAAGTTTGACACGCGCCCGGGCGGAGGTGGAATTGCCCCCCTCCCCCCGCCAAATGTTTTTCAGAACGATTTCCGAATGGCGCGGAAAAGCCGCGCCAAAATTTGCATAACTGTGTACAGATTGAATAGCGGATCTTTGAACAAAAAATTAGACGCACCTTGTACGGTCGTTGACCTATGACAGATCAAAGTTGGAAGACTTTTTGTGTTTGAGGAATTGTTCAATGTGATGCAACAACAGTGTCAGAGAAGTCATACACATCTGGGATAGTTTCTTAAGCAATACAGCAACTAAATTTAGAATTATATCCAATCCCATTGACCTTGGGTCAGGTATAAACGTCACACGAGGTCAAAACGAGTCTGCTTTTTTGCTTGAGAGCTTGATTCGAAGGGGTAGTTTCTGGTGTTTATTCCGAATTGATTAATGGTAGGGGCTGTAGTCGACATATTCCACGTACTTTTAAAAGGTCAGAGTAGGCCGTTGACCTAGACTCAGGTCAACATTTTTTTTAGGAACATACCTCCTAGCACAATCCCTGACGCTTACTGAATGGCAAAACAGGAGCAATCTCGTAAGTATTTGGCTACATTAACCTCATAAAGGTCAAAAAAGGTCACTGCCCCATTGACCTTTTGCGGTATCTAGCTTTACTGCGGTTGCATAAGGAGTACTGGAGGCACTTGAAACATCAACCTGGAATTCGATCTTGTTTGAACTTATTTGATCCTAATGTCATGAGCTAGGAACCTCAAATTTTGACAGTAGTAAGTTCACATACAGTTCGATCCACCCTGTGAATTTGGTGTCTCCAGCTACTTTAGTTTTCGGGATCTCGGGGGTCAAATTGATAACCCACTTCCACCGCTGACCGCGAGCAATGGGTTCTCAGCCGGCCACCCGGACGCGTATTAACACGCGCTCGGGTGAGGGTCAAACTGACCCCCGAAGGTTTTCCCGGAATGGTTTCTGAATGGGGCGGCGTAGCTGCGCCAAATTTTGTATAGCTGTAGACAATTGCATAGCGAATCGTTAGGTATCAAAATTTTAGATCACCTTGTACAGCCACTAACCTACGGCAGGCCAAAGTCGGGCCATGGATTTAGCGAAGTCAGTTTCTAGGGAATCCTCTGATGAAATGAAATCTGAAATATGAAGTGAAAGCTGATGCAACGTCGTGTTGGGCGAAGCAATACATCTCTGACACACTTTCTTAGGAAACACAACAATTGAATGAGCAGATTCCACTGACCCGGGGTTAGATATGAAGGCCAGATGAAGGTAAAAACCAACCCTGTTTTATTACCCAAGGGCCTGCTGCATGAGGTGGTTTCTGGCGCTTATTTCGAACTTATCAATAGCGGGAGCCACATTATACATCTTCCATAGACGTCTTAAAGGTCAGAATAGGTCACTTACCAAAAATGACCCAGGTCAACATTTTTTTTTCATAGGCCCATGCTGCCTGGCATAATCTTTGTTGCTTATTCAAACACAAAACTCAAGGCAGTCTCATGTAACTTTGGTCACCATGACCTTCAAAAGGTCAAACCAGGTCAGTGGTCTTAAATGAGCTATGTGAACTTAGCTTATAACAGATGTTCAGGATCTGGGTGCACTTTGAAGACCAACCTGGAGTTTGACCTCGTTTGACCTTATTTGAGCTCAAGGTCATGACCTCAGAACCTCAAACTTTGACCTCAGTGAGTTCACCTACAGGACAATACACCCTGTAAATTTGGTATCTCTAGCTCTCTTAAATCCTGAGGCCTCAGGGAGGGGGGGGGGGGAAATTGACCCCCACCTGAGTGAAGGGTATTCAGCCAACCATCCGGGGGCGTGTCAACACAGGTGTGCAAGAGTTATGACAGGAAAAAACAGGACATCACAGAACTTTGACAGAAGTCGTATAAGTTGGTGTTACACTGCCGAAGGTACGAGCAGCAAATCCCTCGTGAAAAGCCATTAATGTTTACTCATTATGCAGTGGTACCTAACCAACCCTACATTTTCATATTCTCACTTTAATGAGCTATTTATCAGGCCTAAACACATGGAAATTCATTCCACTGGCACAAGGAGGGCGCCGAACTATTAATCCACAGGACACCGAAGTCGTACTTGCTCTGGTGAGCCCGCTCTCGCTCCTTGAAGAAGTCGACCATCTTCTCCAAACAGCTCAGGTTCTCCTGAGGCTCCCAGGTGTTGTGGGCGTGGCTCCAGCCCTTCCACTTAATAAGGAACATGTCGACACCCTGTTGACACACCGTAATCATCGCCATTTCAACATACGATATAATCGCGTCTCGGTGCGTGCACCACATGACTTGGCGGGCTAGCAACGAAACGCCACGATTCTTACCATTACGAACATCTGTCCCACACATGAATTGAACAAAAATACCCCAATTATTCCATTTAGCACTTTGAGTTTTGCCCTCACCAAGTACATACAAATGGTAAGGGCAAATGCTAAAACCAATTCAAAGCTGATGGGTCCTAGTTACATTTTCACGGACGTAGTCGATGATTTTTTCCACGAGAAACTCGTCTTCCTCCAGTCCTGTGGTCGAATCAGCGTCACTTCCGTCATCAACTGCCGCGGCTTCCCCTCCAGCCAGCTTGGTAGCAAGATCTGCCGACAGAAGTTTTCGGTGAAGATGACAATAATTGATGGTGGATGGGCATTTTGGCTTCAAAGGCCAATTCACGCCCAGCCAGACAGTCTGCGTTAGTTTTTATCTTTCCCGCGGCACAAATTTCTCACAAATATACAGCTGGGAGATGCTGCTAATGGGTTACCATGCCATTCAAGGCTCAGTGAGGTATCACATGGAGGGAGTAGTTGTGCATTACAGTAGCTCCTCAGTTGCAATTTATGCACTTGTTTCACCTTTGAAGATGTCAAAGCAAACATCAGATAAAATGAAACAAGCCCCTTTATAACTATTGGTATACTTTTTAGGCAGAAAGACTGCTTCAGACAGCACAATTCTCGGCTTAGTAAATATGCTCCTCAATATGTCATGGTTTGATGATGTTGTATATTACACATCATTGAGAGCAAATTGATAGTGCTATATCTGGAAATTTTATTTCTTGGTCACCTTGATTGCTGAATGGCTTATGGAATGGCAGGGTTTGAATGACATTATGACATCACAAATGCCAAGATGACTTTGAAATACTCCCCCCATATACTTTTCCTTATTTTTACAGGTAAGTACATCAAAATTTAGGGAGGCTTAGGTCTTAAGAAGGGCAGAAGTTTGAACAGTACTGACAGGTCTCCAAGATTGCTATACAGTTCAAAAACCCACATAAATGTAGAACACTCCCTTTCAGCTGTGCAGTGTATAGTTTCATCCAAATGCATTAGAGGATGAGTTGGTTACAAGCATTATGCATGTTGCCATAAGCTCTTCTGTGTACTATGTGCCAGAGGCAGCTGGTAGGTTGCTAACCAGGCACTGACTGATGAGGAGGACCAAAGGATCGCAGCATTGGCATAGCACTAAAGCTTGCTAGACATGTAGTCTCACTATTAATTGTGAGCTATACTTTCAACCACAATTTATATCAACCCTCTGCAGTACTGGACATCAGCCAAGTCCTCACCATTCTTTACAGCATACCTTTCTTTTCATTCTCATTTTTTGGAGCCAGAACACAATTGTCATCTCTTTCCTCTTTGGATGCTGATGCATCCATCCATGCAGATGCTTCCAAATCACTACTGTTATTCATGCCATTTGCTGAGCCTGAAAACATATGAGATATGTAAAATACATATCATGTACAGAGAAGCATATTCATATTAACTGTCACTTCTATATATATATATATATATATATATATATATATATATATATATATATATATATGAGCAATGCAAAACACAGCCATTTACCAGGCTGACCATCTTGAGGTCACATTGGCACACCGCACCTCAACCACCTGTCTCGGACTCAACTCAATACTGAACACTGTTAGCCAAATTTTAACCCATGTAACATGTCATCCCAATATTCAGGTGTCAATGTATTATCAGCTGACAAGTGGAAATGGCATCATAAATGAATAGGATAACAGCAGTCTCCATTACTATTTTTGACAGAGCTGTAAGCCCTGAGCACAAAAGCTTCATAAATAAAACAGTTTTCCAATAAATGAAGTCTGTACACCAATCATTAATGTGAAAGTTAATTTCAAGCTTTGACATACACAACTGTATGAGCACAAGCCATGCTATAAATCTGTCCAAAAGACACTGTGAAAAAAATCACAACGAACATATCTGGCATAGGCAGCAGCATCCCCGCAAAAATTTCAGTGCACGGACACAGCCAACCCCAAGCATTGACACAGCAGGTGATTTTTGTCTAGCTGGCCCACTGGTGCCACCAAATTGGACATTAGACAACTGGGCCTTAATACATCTTTTCATTTGAGGTCAGATGCACAAAACACCCATGCTGGTCCAAGGTCAAAGACAGCCAGGGGAATGAACTTGGTATGCGGCCTAAAACCTTTTAAAAGACATTTCCACAGGCGACTTTTACACCAGGAGAGAAACATGTCACCCTGATACACTCGTATCCAAGGCCCTAACTCGTGTCGTCATAGGGCCTTACTCGTACCTGACGCCGCTAGGTCCTGAGCTTGGCTAACACCATTGTCCATGTCTATACAAAACAAGCAATTAGACGGCTCAAAAAACGCACACTGACCACCTAACGGAATATCTTAGAAGCTCTATATGCGCCCCGCTATGCCGGAAAACCAGCGGAAAACCACAACAAAACACGGTTGGAAACGACGGTAAGATACGAAATGCGCAAGTTGGTACAAGCAGGCATAAACAGCGCGACATCTGAAAAGTATCTCTAACTTATTGCGTAATACATATAATTTAGGCGGTTTTTAAATACTATGCTGGAGTAAGATTACTTGAAATTAAATAAATTAACTTCAAAAAATATTAAATTGTAAAAAGCTTTTCACTATTTTCTCATTATCATATCACGTAAGGTTTGTTATGAACGTCTGTCAATCTAGCAGCAGATTGATATCCAATTGCCAGTTGGATATTGCGGGGCGTCTCGATTGCCGCCAAATTTGGTGTGCAGGGCCTTCTCATCACGCTGATTCCAAAAATCAATGTCTTTGGGGTGGAATTTTGCGTAATTTTCGAGTTATATGCTGCGTAACATCCCAATGTGATAATGCGGGGCGTCTCGATTGCCGCCAAATTTGGTGTGCAGGGCCTTCTCAACACGCTGATTCCGAAAATCAACGTCTTTGGGGTGGAATTTTGCGTAATTTTTGAGTTATACGCTGCGTAACATCCCAATGTGATATTGCGGGGCGTCTCGATTGCCTCCAAATTTGGTGTGCAGGGCCTTCTCAACACGCTGATTCCGAAAATCAATGTCTTTGGGGTGGAATTTTGCGTAATTTTTGAGTTATACGCTGCGTAACATCCCAATGTGATATTGCGGGGCGTCTCGATTGCCTCCAAATTTGGTGTGCAGGGCCTTCTCAACACGCTGATTCCGAAAATCAATGTCTTTGGGGTGGAATTTTGCGTAATTTTTGAGTTATACGCTGCGTAACATCCCAATGTGATATTGCGGGGGCGTCTCGATTGCCTCCAAATTTGGTGTGCAGGGCCTTCTCAACACGCTGATTCCGAAAATCAATGTCTTTGGGGTGGAATTTTGCGTAATTTTCGAGTTATACGCTGCGTAACATCCCAATGTGATATTGCGGGGCGTCTCGATTGCCGCCAAATTTGGTGTGCAGGGCCTTCTCAACACGCTGATTCCGAAAATCACTGCCTTTGGGGTGGAATTTTGCGTAATTTTTGAGTTATACGCTGCGTAACATCCCAATGTGATATTGCGGGGCGTCTCGATTGCCTCCAAATTTGGTGTGCAGGGCCTTCTCAACACGCTGATTCCGAAAATCAATGTCTTTGGGGTGGAATTTTGCGTAATTTTTGAGTTATACGCTGCGTAACATCCCAATGTGATATTGCGGGGCGTCTCGATTGCCTCCAAATTTGGTGTGCAGGGCCTTCTCAACACGCTGATTCCGAAAATCAATGTCTTTGGGGTGGAATTTTGCGCAATTTTCGAGTTATACGCTGCGTAACATCCCAATGTGATATTGCGGGCGTCTCGATTGCCGCCAAATTTGGTGTGCAGGGCCTTCTCAACACGCTGATTCCGAAAATCACTGCCTTTGGGGTGGAATTTTGCGTAATTTTTGATTTATACGCTGCGTAACATCCCAATGTGATATTGCGGGGCGTCTCGATTGCCTCCAAATTTGGTGTGCAGGGCCTTCTCAACACGCTGATTCCGAAAATCAATGTCTTTGGGGTGGAATTTTGCGTAATTTTCGAGTTATACGCTGCGTAACATCCCAATGTGATACTGCGGGGCGTCTCGATTGCCTCCAAATTTGGTGTGCAGGGCCTTCTCAACACGCTGATTCCGAAAATCAATGTCTTTGGGGTGGAATTTTGCGTAATTTTTGAGTTATACGCTGCGTAACATCCCAATGTGATATTGCGGGCGTCTCGATTGCCTCCAAATTTGGTGTGCAGGGCCTCTTCAACACGCTGATTCCGAAAATCACTGCCTTTGGGGTGGAATTTTGCGTAATTTTCGAGTTATACGCTGCGTAACATCCCAATGTGATATTGCGGGGCGTCTCGATTGCCTCCAAATTTGGTGTGCAGATGACGTGTGCAGGTGTGCAGACGTCGTGTGCCGTCCCATGCTTCGGCATGCAGTCGGCTATCAGCTGCTTGAGCCGCCTGACCACCGGTGTGTCGCCACCGCAGTCCGGCCGGCTCGCGTAGTGCGGTGTCTCCACCACGGTCAGCAGCAGCGGGCTGATGTGGCCGGCCAGCCAACGACATGGGCATGGCGTGCACAACTAGCATGGGCTGCTCCACCAGCGTCACCAGCGTCCTTGGGAGATAAGACAGGCGGTGACATCACCCAAATCTTCAGGCTCCAACGGTGAGGCACGATTGGTTTGGTCACAAGCGACATCTTGTCAGTTTTTGGTTAGGACAAACAATGATAGTGACTACGTCGGACTATTACTCCACCACCTTAAAGGTCAGAAACGAAACAAAGCTGAGAAGGATGCCACTGGGCCATACCACCATGCCAATGCTATCACATACCACACGGTTATCCCTTACATCTCGCGAACTGACCTTCTCCAGTGAACTGATACGGACAGGCCCAAAGGGGAATTCCAGGACACATATTCCAAAACGCGTTGAAGCCTGGCTTCCCAGCACGCATCTACCAACTATGCATATGGCTATCCCGTCCAGTGAATCTAATATCAAATTATCCATCAGTAAGTTCGTCTACATTCAAAACTGGATCCACGAAGAGCAAACGCGTTTTCACCCTGAAAAGAGAAGGCATATGTCACCTCGCCTGACCCCGTGTTGTCTCGCGGCCTCTTGAAGATGTTAGCCTCCGACCCGTCGTTGTCGGCTGCCGCCGTGGCCGGGAGCTGGCCGAACGGCACCAGCTTTACCATCAGCAAGCGCGTCAGCAGACTCAGGTGAACCAGCATCACCATGGGGAACGGCTTGCCAGACGCCTGCTCCCCAGACACGCCCGATGGCAAGCCCGGAATCGGGCTGACAGCTGTGAACACGACAGTGCCCCGTCAGACCAGCGATCGGCGCAGGCGTCGCGACGAGACTGGCTTCAACGACATCGAGTCTTACAAACATCGCCTGTTACAATACATAACTTATCAGCAAGCCAGGCCACCAAAACGTGAAATATTATCATTTTGTGTCATTTGCATTACGCCATAACATGAGCTGAAGATATGCTATTGCGCAAACATCACCAAAAGGTACGCACATCGCGTTGAACGCATCTAAATTGAGACCAAAGCTTAGCAGAATTCTGCAGCATGAATACCACATACAACAGCGTAGAGAAAGATCCCGAATAAATTCAGCAAGTAACACAACCACTGATATGTCACTCGTGAGCAACATCTTAACCAGATAGAATCATTTTAAATATTCGGCAGCCAGTTGATAGCAACCACGGCGAGTTTGGGATGGTTCAAATTGTCACCACAGATACTTAACAGCCTGTTCTCAGCGGCAGCACGGCAAAATAGTGAAAGCGTTCACAGTGGCTATGCACCGCGTTCTAAAGGCCGCTTGACCGTCAAAGTCGCACGAATCGACGGCTCAACCCAGTGTTCTAATATTCGGTCACTTGGGTGGCATGTATGCGGATACTTTTCATGTTATTACACCCCGGCTTGTGGCTCACTGCCAACTGCCCATCCCCTTGTTCAGAATCAGCCAATCAGCATCGGACTGCGCGGCTGTGAAACCAGTATCTATGCACCTCAGGCTTGACAAATGCACTAAGAAGGTCAGGTGTCTGGGTCGGGTCAAAGGGCAACGGATTGGCGCAAGCCAATTGCGTGCGGGGCCGTCGCCGGGTAGCCAGGATTCTGGTAGCATTAATTTATATTTAAATCCCGCACAGCCTGCTGAATGCATTTTGGAACGCTGGCTGAACTACATCCAAAAGTGAGACCCACCATCGCGACATACTCTGAGCGAGCGCCGTCCGATCCAATCCCTCCGTGATCCCATGCCAGTCCGCATCCCTCGGCGAGCTCACCAGTCTCGGGCGCCGCCCTGAAGACAACCTCTGCGAGAAGCACCATGACCACGCCGTTGGACTTCATTTTGGCCGGCTGGCTGTGGCAGGCGGCGGCCAGTGTGGCACCGTGACGCGCCTGGAATGGCACCGGCGTTAGCAGCACGGACACCTAGCTGATGCCGAACGTCGGCCACAGAGTGTCCGATTTCAGCTCCAGCAGCGACACAAGGTATGCTTACACATGCCGACGGCCATGGGGATGGATCAGACAGAACATTCTGGGGCAGCCAGGGACACTGGTCAGAGCGTCCTTGCTGGGGCAGCCAAAGGCGCAAATAAAAAGCACAAGATACCAGATCTCTCAAAGATACCAGCACGATGGCACGGCCTGAAGGCACAGGTACTGCGGAAGCAAATATACACCAATGTGCAAAAAAGACGACAAACCGCAAACAAGATGCTGTTAACTGAGAAGAGGTGAACAGAGCAGCCTAGTCGACTCGATTTGGAAGCGAACGGAGGACTGTTCGTAACTATGCAAACTCAAATTCTCTCTGACCTTACTCCGAGACAAATATTGGGCTAAGTAGTGACCCCCATGTCGGTATATGCACCTCATCCTACCCATCCCCTTACCAAATTTAAGGCCATGTATTCGTGCGTACGTAACAGTATGCTGAAAGCTGAAAACTGCATGTAAGTCCGCAAAAAAGAGAAGATCAACAATATGCAGCATCCATTTCAGCAGTTCCAGGTACGCTAGAAACGGCGAGGGCCGTACCGCGGTTTTCAGTGAAAGCGTTGGAGCTGTGTCCCGCTGGTGAAATTTTGGGTGCGCCTATGCACAAGTGTCACATATTTCTAGCGGCCGTCAAGCCGGTGTCACCCTGCGGAACGACATCGCGGGACGGCTTGTGGGAGCCGTTTTTCCTGGGCGGCGAGGCACGGCACCACTGGAAGTTCGTGCGCCTGTCCCCCGGCGACGGCCACGTTGACTGTCGGCTACACCGGGCCTGAAGCCGAGGCCCGGCGGCCGGGTGGCCGAGAATGTCACTTCAACTGTCCCAGTTGTTACAGTTGGGTTATGCGCCTGCGTGAAGGGGGAGGGGAAAACAGCCAGATCCGAATCAAG